AACCGCAGAGTATCCCTGGAGTGCCTAACGGCAGAGTATCAATATTCTTGCAGCGCATTTGCAGTGCGGCAAGGAAGACAGTTGAGGGGGGGCAGGGAAACGTTACACTTGTTGTGCAATAACGCCTTCAGGGTGGGGATGCTCGAAGTAAATAATTTTGGTTACTGCTGCTCAGAGCTATGTCCAGCTTGAATAGGGCTGGAGGTACGTCGGGCATACGGCGGACAGAGATGCTGCCGCGCTTGATTTGGTCGGAGCCTCTTCCCTCTTGCTGCTTTTTGCGTGCATCTCAAAATCCGCAGCATCATACCGTACCTGCTTTTGCAGTACTGGAGCATCGTCAGGTGTTCGAGTGAGCAAACACGGCAGTACTAGTCTCTGCAGGCTGACTGCTGAAAAGACTCTGCTAGCTGCGCATGGCTGAACCTTGCAAGCCCATGCGATGCATGACCTAATCATGCAGCAGCGTTTGGCTCGGGAACGGTTCTGCCCATCAGTAATGAAGCTGAGCTACTGGCAGCTGTCTTTGGCGTTGGCCGTGGCAAGCTCAGTCTCTTCCTGGCTGGTCCAACTTTGTTGTTTTGAATTGGAACGCGGAGAAAACATTGAGTTTTGGACTTAATCAGCAGATCCGTATAATGCGGACAGTGGCAAAATCAGCAGATCCGTATAGTGCGGACAGTGGCAAAGAATTGCAATCCATTCAGGTGGTTGCTGGACTGCCTTTGGAGCATAGATCCACTCCGATCGCACGAGACTTGGAGATCGACTTTAGTTTGTTGCCTGGTGGGCATTACCTAGTCGTGCAGAATTTTCGGCTCCATTGCTCACATTTCGATGACGAGATCTTCTGGACATCTTCACATCAAGAAGCTATCATTTTGCAAGCGCTAAAATGACGATCTTGGTACAGCTCCCCTTAGTATGCCTTGGACGAGATTCCAGCCTGAGCCATGGCGCGGAAAGCCTGCAACCCAAAAACAGGAGTGTGGAGAGTTTGGGGAAGCGAGCGGGCTTGGATTTGAAGGTCGGCTTTGGATCCAAAAGGCACCGATCAACTGCAAAGCGGGAAGCGCAGAAGGCTCCCACAGCCGCTTGGCATATCCATCGTAAGTGGCCAAACAAATGCCACCAGCGCACATGCCCAGGTTCGCATGCTGCACCGAACTCAGGATCCCACAGTGCAGAAATCGGTATGTTCGAATGACTATAGACTATGGCCCTATTGCAAAGGGATGTATTTGATGGCTGAGGCCCAAAGCCAAAAGAGATTACATCATTGATGATCGTCCCTCTCAGCGAAAGAAAGCTCGTAAGACCACCTCAGTTACTCTGACGAAGGCAGTGCCAGCATCTGGAGTGCATACGTATGCTGAATCTACATGCCTCTTTCAACTCTCTGGCAGGGAAAGTACGAAGCCCTCCCTGGTACACGGATTCAGTCCTTGCCAGGCTTGATCTTGGAATCCTCATGTTTCGCACACCTCACATGGTTCCAACATTGGTCAGCTTCTCACTTGCGGTGGCAGCCAGATCATTTCGCTAGGTGGGAAGCACGTTCGAGTTGTCATTCAGGCCAGAGTCAGAGCGCAACTGAGGGCGGGGATACTTCTTGGGCCTTAGCCTGACCTGACAATAAGTGTTTGGTTTCGTGCTTGTCATCCGTGTAAGCATGTCCTTGTTCCTGTCTGAAGGCCTTTCCTCGACTTGTGAGCTATGGTTCCTTCCTGCCCAGTAGTATGCGTGCCAAGCAGACTTTGGCGCACGAAACGCGTATCTTTCGTTTAGGGTCCGTGCCTGTCCGCTTGGGAGGATGGCAAGACTTTCGAACCTGAGAACGTCCGCGGAGCAAGGTGCGCCTTCCATGAGGATCCATGAGGTATAGGATGGTGGATGAGGTGCTACAGGCTTGCCACGGCAATGGGGACCCACCATCCCCTCAGCTGCAAAAGTACTGAGCTGAGGCGGCATTTGAAGCAGCTTGTCGTCCTGGCAGATTGCAACTAAGCCGATTTTGAGGGCGCTGGGTGCTTGAGATGCTTGCCACCCTGATTCTTGCTGTGTTAGCATTGTCGGGAGGGCGCACACCGTTCCCTGAGTCTTCTGCCATCCTTTGCTTCAAGTGTAGAGTCCCATGCGGTCGTACAGGGTGCCGGCCAGGCTGACGAGGCAGAGGAGCTTTCCCGTATCCACGGCACCAAGGCCTAACCATAGATTGCAGCGATGAAATGAGGGATGCATCTCTGTGACTGAAGGCCAGGGTTTGACAGCTTTCTGCCTGTAACCCCCCCCTTTGCGGTGCATGCAGGAGAAGCTTTCACAGGCCAAGTGTGCAGCCGAAATAGCAGCCAAAGCAGCTGACTCCAAGGGCAGGCTCGTGTCAGCCACTGTGTGATCTATTTTGCTGTTGCCTGCACTGACACGAAACAGGCTGGCAGCCAAGGCGAAGCAAAAGCTTCTGAATAAGAAGAAGCGAAAGCTGAAGGCCTGTGGAATGCTCTGTGCATGCATATGCGTGCATGCATATGCCACTGATATCGCATGCGCAGCAGTCTCAAAAATGCCTTCAGCAGCATGTCTTCCTGCTTGCATGCTCCACTTCCTCAGATCATCGGCCCAAGCTGTATGCACAGTCATGTGCTGATTCCAGCAGGGAGAGCAACAGCAGTTCTGCATACACCGTCGGCAGGACAATCAAGTTCGTCAGGCAACTGGAGACTAGTTTTCTGTAGCTACTGACTGCAGGTGGACCGAACCCAGGTCAAGTGCCTCAGGCTCCATGGTGCCCGGTGGCGGAATGAACGCCAAACGCTTTGGCAATCCATATCGAGTCCTGGAGTCTCCGCATGCTTCCCCATGCCTTTCCTTCGCTGGCTCGCCCCTTGCGTCCCCTCTGCAGGGATTTGCCCTCAGCCCGATGCACGTGGGCGCCGGCGATTTGCCTCCCGCATCACCCAGCATGCCACAGATGCCGCTATCAGGCAACTTGGCGAACCCGACAACGGGAGCTGTCTACCCTGGTGGAAGTATCTTGGACCTCATACCGCTGCAGGTCTCTCATGTTGTGCGTCCCGACCTTCAGAGTGCACAGGCTGAGGGTCCAGTCGCTCAAGCTAGGCAAGGGGCCTCTCCGCACATGGTGGCAGCCCAGCCGCGACCAGTCCCGCCACCACTGACACTGGGCTACACCGTCGGGCCCGCCCTTTCTTCACCAACCGCTCCGGGATCTCCATCCTGGACAACCGTCACAACCCGCAGAAAGCCGGAACCCAAGGCCTTCGTGGCCAAGCCGGTTCCTGCGCCAGTCCCTGCACCAGTCCCTGCAACAGCTGCGCCGCAGCTTCAAAGGATGAACACCACAGGGGATGCAACGGATCTCTACTATGCCCAGAAAGAAGTTTTTGTGAGGGGTTGGACGCATGATGCCAAGCACACCAGGAGCGTGAAGCAGAAGAAGCGGGTCGACTACCAGATAGACAAGCGACGGCAGCAAAGTGAACGTGACAAGGCAGCCATGGCTGCTGACTATGGCGACTCAGACTACGACTGAGCCACGCTGAGCCAAGCTGAGCCAAGCTGAAGAGCAAATGGCTGCGACAAAGCTCGCCTGTTCCAATGTTGAAGTCTCTGTAATTCGGGCGTTCGGTTGAAGTGCCAGAGAACTGGTTCTAGCACCTTTGACGGTGTCGCTCTGCAAGTCGAGGATATTGACTCTGGTGCAGGCTGAGAGGCAGATGCTTGTTCTTGCCTTGAGATTCGTGAGCCAATGCTGTGGCCTTCTTCCCCAAGCATCGGTCGATATCCCGCAGCGTAGTGCTGCCAAAAATGGCTCACACTGCTTAAGTGTTTCTTCTTGCTTTGTCAGAAGGGTATAAGACTTCGACCTCTTGGATCTGAGACGCAAATGCGTAGTCCGAGCAAGCGGCCTTGCGGTCAGTGGGGAAAAGCTTCGAGTGAGCAGAGCATGGCAGAGCGCCGAGGTTGTTTTCTGTTCGTTATTGTCGTTGTCGTGGGCGGCGGCGGTGGTGGCGTTGGTGGCGTTGGTGGCGTTGGTGGCGTTGGTGGCGTTGGTGGCGTTGGTGGCGTTGGTGGCGTTGGTGGCGTTGGTGGCGTTGGTGGCGGTTGCTATGATGGATTGGAGGTGCTGGCCGAAGCGGCCGATTCTTCGCGCTAGGTATGGCATGTTATGACCACCCATTCTTGTGACAGAGGTGGTGGCTGCGCTTGTGCGGTCGCTGATGCACGGAAAATCAGTGATCAAGGAAAGTTTGCGGATGTTGTTGTTCCCTCTATCACTGACAATGCTGCCTCGGATGCCACAGCTGAAGCGGTTGCCGTTATTTTGTCAATTTGTTGAAGGTTTACCCAGCCTGCCAGGGCTCTGCCAAGGATGGCATGTTGCGTACATGCGCTGTCCAACACTTACCCCGCGCAGGTGGATTCCTCACAGCCTGAGGGGGAAGAGCCTGCCCCAAGTGATGCATAATTATCTAGCCTGCCAGTACTGCTGTATACAGCGAGGGCAACTCAAGCAATCACATCTGGCAGCTGGCTCGCATAGCTGAGTCTGCGGGTTTCACTCGGAAAAAAGCGGCGGAATGGGTGCATCGCAGCTTGTCGGGATGTGCGAAAGTCCTCGATGCTCCATGCTCGGGGTCAAAAACCCAACAGAGGCACCAGCGCCTGCACCTGCCCCGGCGGCGTCGCCGGCACCTGCTGCTTTGACAGCGGGTTTCTAAATGGACCATGCCAGCATCGCCCAGACACTCTGCGAGCAGCATTTATTCCAAGGCCGCGGATGTAGCACCTGAGCTGGAGAAGTCGCTCCTGCGAGCCAAGAAGCAGCTGAGACCAAATCAGTGCTCGCGTGTCAGAGCTGGGATGCATGAAAGTTTGTATCATTGTACCAGGCACGCAGATGCTTCCGAAGCATGGGCCGTTGCTGCCCAAGAAGCTGCCAAGGCCACATTGGATTCAGGAAGCCAATGCAAGCGTGTTGACAAATGCTTGACAAGTGTCACAAAGCTTCCAGGCCTTCAAGCCAAAGGAGAAGAAACTGAAATGAACCGGCTGCCTCATGCGTTTCAGATTAGGTTCTCATGCTAGGAAATCAACCTGTCTCACCCATGCATTTCAAACAAAACTTTGATGCTCTCATTATGCTGTGCTCTGGTTATGGCAAGATTTGCAGGCTGAAGTGATGCGTATCTGGGAAAACAGATTGGCTTCAAGCTTGAATTAGGCTTTTATCTTCATACGCCTGACTCGGCTTGAATGCAGCCTGGTCAACCGGACCCCATGCAGTCTATGTTTGCGTGGCCACGGAACGCGCAGCACGCTAATTGTTGGTGCTTTCCTCCAGACTCTGCTGCCATGGGCGCTGGGGTGAATCGCATGCACTTGGAGGCAAGTTGCAAGCACAGCCAAACCCTTCCCCTGCAAGAGCGGATACGCCCTATCCAATTTGGCACTAACAAAATCGAATTGTAAAAATTCAGAGGGAGATGGAGGCTCATAGCGCTGCGAAGGCTCAGGCTCAACTTGGTATGCCAATGAGCCGATCCTCCGGATCCAAGGCATTTTTGTTTGTTTCCACTGTGGCACTCAAGGGCTGTGGCTGCACTGACTCCATGCCGCTTGTAGGCTGTGAGCTTTGCCAGTGGCCCACCTGAGAAGGACAACTCTGCAGTGACCTAGCTCTGGTTTAGTGTGTGTTTTCAGCTGTCAAGTTGGAAGTTGCCACGCAGCATCTAAGAGCTGTTGTGCCAGGCCGCGAATGATAAGTCCATGATCGCCGCTCCTGGAACTGGGCAAAGTGCACCAGGCTGGCCAATTCTCTTATGCATGAGTCTCATACATGCCAAACATCACATGGATTGCAGAGGAGCGCTTGACAGAAGCAAGGATGAGCGCTGGCTCAACGAGGCCTTGCCCTTCAGTTCCTTGCAGCCAAGCACCAGCCTTCAAAGATAAGGTAAGAGCAGCAGGTCGCCTGAAACGAACGGTGCCTGCCTTTGTCTTGTGTTAGGCTTTCTTTTAGAGGTTGTGGAGGCATGAGCAGACCAGGTCACCTTTCCAGTTGGTGACTGGTTTTTGGGCGTTGGTGATGGAGGCATTGGAAGGGACAAGGCGCAGACTGTAGCCGCAGCCTGAACTGAACTTTGCCAAAGTGGGCTGGTCGTAGCCGTAAGAGTTCAAGCTTAGATTTTGCACTGATTGGAGCCTGCGCAGAGTTGCATGTTTGCTGCGTATCCGCAGCTCGTTCAACTGGCCAGGATAATCCTGCCGGGGGTGCTCTGATCATGAAAGGCGCAGCAAATTCTTGTCCCCAAGCCTATGCTGAGTTTTGAAGCATGAGCTCTGGACCAGGGTCTCTGTCCGACTTCGATGAGAAGGACAGACCACCCAAGGCCTTAGCGCATGAACGAGTTCAGTTCGCCCGCGCCCGCCAGTTGAGGATGGCACGTAGAGGTTTTGTTGTGTGTCGGCACGGTATTGTATTGGCTGGCTTGCGGGCAAGCTTTGTGTGGCCTTGGAACATGAAACTCAAGATGCACAACGAAAGACGATCAACTGGAAGCCCAAGCAGGAGCATTTCACGTCGATATCAGATGCATGTCAGACAACAGCTGTGATGCGACCGCACAGCACTTGCTTGCCAGTGGGAGATGATGAGCTCTGACACACAGGACAAGGCCTCGGAGCCGTTTTCCAGGTCTCTAGCAGTCGTCTTTCCTGGAACTTCACATGTCAGGGTGGCCTGGCGGTGCTTGGACAAGGTGCAGAAAATGGGAAGCATGAGCCAGTGTACTCAAGCCTGCTTGGCAGGTGGAGCTAGAGTTAAAGACGCCGGAAGGGTGCTAGCTCTGCAATGCTTTGCTCACTCCTGGCTAGGTGGCACCAAGCCGAAGGTTGGCACTGTCAGCACCACGGGGCTGCCTCGTAGAGCAGATTTCTTGTGCGCAGCAGGTTGACAAGAAGGACCGCAAGGCGACATTGATGCGCGACAGAGTGGCCTACAGAATTGGCTAGTCGGATAAAGCAGAAGATCCATGAGACAACAAAATAGCGTGAGAGCAATTTCAAGGTGTTAGGTGAAAAGTCGCAAGTCCTACAAACTGTCCTTTGTCCGTGCAGGCCTTGTTGGGCAATCTTGGTTTGGACCCATCAAGCGACGAGTGCCTTGACTGTGCAAATAGGTTGAGAGCAGCACGGATAATTTTGCTTGAATTTTGAACGCCTGTGTGTCCATCAGCCAAGGTACAAGGAGACGCATGAGCCTCCGAACCTTGGCAGCAACAATAATCCTAGCATGCAAAAACCCTTGATGAGTGCTGCTGCATTGATGGTTTGCGCATGATGAAATTGCCTCTGCAATTTAACTGACAGACGTCAGAACGAGTGCGCACCAGGCCTGGTGGCTGGACCAACAACGCCAGAGCTGGTGTCGGAGCCTCACCAAATGTCAAGGTTTGGTCAAATCTAGCATTGCCAGCATTGCACGTCACCTCCTGCGTCTGTGTGCTTGCTGCCCCAAGGTCACCTCACTTCCCAAAACTGGGTATGGAGGTGAGCTTCAGCTCCTGGAGGATCACAGGCAGTGCTTTCAGCCTGTGGGTTCAAGCTTGCATCGGTCACCACAGCCACATACAGAGTTGAACAGACCGACGGTCGCATGTGGATTTTCAACATTCAGTCACCAGGTGTTGGAAGAATATTTGAGCCCCTGTTCAGTATCCTTTGTTCATTTGCAAGTGAGCGCCCGAGCACTGGCAGCCGGCAGGTCACAAACAATCCACTTCAGCGACTTGACAGTCGCTTGACTCAATGAGCTTGTGCATGGAAAGCGGTGCATTCATGAGTGAAGCTTGAGCTCACACTGTTGCTTGCTTTTTCAGACACCCACTCACAACCCAGGACAGCTCCCGCTTCACCTGCCAACAGAATGCATCGCGTTTGCAATAGTTTGGCGTTTTTGGCCAAATCAACAGCTCAGCCGAGAGCCGAGGCTTGGGGCCCAGGCCCGGGAGGCCCAGCTCCGGCTCCGACGCTGAAGGGCTACCCACATCCCCAGCACCTCGGTGGAAGTAGTTTACACGCAGTGGCCAAGCCGTCTGTCCTTGGTCTTAAGTTACTATACTGACTAGGACATACTGGGACGCTCAGGCACAACAAGTTGTGAGACAATGTCGGTCGAGTTTGGAAGCTGCCTGAACCAGCGCGCAGGATTGAGCTCGACCATCCAGAGAGCTTCGTCTTGGACCTACATGGCGTTCTTGGTTTTAACGGAGCTCCAGCTTGATGACTAAAGACATGTGTGAGCGAGGTACATGTGCACTTGGAGGACAGGTCCGTTACTGGCTGAGTTGCTGTAGACTGTAGACCAGACACACGATTGCGGATGCAAGCTCTGGCACCGCGATGGACTGCAGAGATATAATGAGGCGGGCCCAACTCCACACGTTCTATGGGACGCTGCCTACGATATGGGTGGAACTGAGGCATTCTGTTCATGCCCTAGTGTCATGCTGTGGCTTGTGGCAGCACCAGGTTCTCAAGTCGACCGCAGCTGCTGCTATCTCAGCTGTCCAACGCAAAGTGCAGTTGCAGATCTGCAAGAGCCAGTTTGATTAGGCCATGTGGGGCCAGCGGCCAAACTTGGAGCTCATTTGTCCCCCCAAGCATGGGCCGCCGCACTGGCAGCCGCCTCGGATCTTTGGATGCCATTAGCCCTCAAGACTGGCAAGCTCCTAGGCTCGAGCGGACGATATCTCGCGAGTCTAATGTGGCACCCTCTGACACGCCGCAGTCCTGCTGGCACGGACCTGTTGGGCGTTGCAAAGTTGGCTGCCAGGTGAGAAGGCGGCCCTACATGCCTGCGGCTCAGAGCTTCGCAGCAGTGATCACAAAGCTTTGCACGAAGCATGGGCAAAATGAGGATGCAAGACTTCATCGCCTCCCAGGTCATCTCGGCATACAGGACCCGTGCATTGCTGTTCGCGCACTGCTTGAGTCTTCTATAGTCTTGTGTACAGCTTGTACCACATCCTAAACCCCCACAAAAAAGCATCCCTACACGACCCTATATATGCCTATATCTCATTATACATCCTACACACTCGGACCAGGCGCTTTAGCTTGTTCCAAGCGCAAGGCCAGATCATGATCCTCAGCTGGACGCATTCTCGATGGCCCTTCGTCTGAAGACTTCAATGCTCGTTGAATGCTCTGCAGCAAGTTCTTGCTTTTGCTTCATAAGACAACCAAGGACGTTGATTCCGGAAATTCGGGCAAAGTACCCAAAACTACGTTTCTGAAAAGCTGAGGAAAAGTCCTTGACACATATGATTCTGCCGATGTGATTATTCAGGCTTTGCATGCAATGCAGGTTCAACATCCCCCACAGCATGTGTGCATATCATAGCGTTGAGCCCCAAGCTCAGGAACAGTCCGGTACCAAGTCCACCAGCACAAAACCAGCTTGGCGAGCGACCGCCGTAGTCCTAAAGCACAGCCTTCTCACTCACTTGGACTGCAAAAAAGACACAAAACCTGCTTAGAGCATCTGATTCGCTGCCATGGTCTCTGAGCCAGTGGAAGCTGCTTGCCCACCGCATTCTGGAGAGGGGAGGTGTTCCAAAGAATGCCAGTCTGCAGGCCCAGCGGTTGATGGACATGACTTGTATCTTGCATCTCAGATTCTAGGCAAAATGCCTCATGTGCCATGATCTTGTGGAGTCACGGAGTGGTCTGTGCAAGTCAGGCGACTGCAAAATGCAAGGTTGCCCCGAAGCTGAAGACGTCAAGTCCAGTGCCTACCTCAGCATGTGCAATCGCTGAGTTTGTGAAACTTCCTTGGCTTTGCAAATGCTTGCATAATCCACGCTCCGATGGATGTTGTCAACTGTTCTGTCAGAAGCCAAAGTTGCAATCTCAGACCTTGTCAATTCTTGTATAGAACTTCTTTTTCAGTTTGCAGGAGAAGAGGAGGCAGCCACTGTTGAGCTACCTCCAGAGGCCGTGCCCAAAATGTTCACATGCTGTGTCCCAACTCTTGCTCGGGTGATGCCACGCTACGGGAAATCTCCAAGCAGCAAGTGCCTGAACCAGGCTGATGCCAAAAAGGCAGAAGGCAACGCTGCATTTCAGGCAGTTATTCATTGTCCGTTTGCTTGCTTTCAGTTGCATCCGATCTTGTCAGGCCAAGCAGTTTGTGGAAGCAGCGCGGCTGTATGCAGAAGCTATTTCCATAGCCGAGGTGGGCCACGTTCAGAAAATCTGCTTGCAAGATCGTTTGAGCCAGACCGCCGGTGCAGAAGTTCCTGGCGTCTACTACTCGTGCCCTGGCTGAAAGTTTGCCTGTGTGTCCGTGTGTGCAATGAGTCGCGGTCTGGACTTGAGAAGTCTCTGCATGTCTCTGCTCTAGTCAGGAATCGTGCAGTATGCCTGGCCTCTCTGCAAGACTGGGCCCCTTTCTCAACCACTCCATCCGTTCTGATTATGTCCTGGTGACAAAGCTTTTCGCCAACGCTGACCGAAGGAAGGCACAAGAGCAGATGCTGCGAAGGTTGCCTGCATTTCGTGCTCTTGGAAAAATGCAGTACTGTGGCTTGTCATGGCTTGTCTTGAAGTAGCAGGCACTCGCCCGCGTGGCTGACCTGTCCCCAGCTGCCATGAAAAAGGCTGGTTTCTCTGCAGGACGCGCAGCTTCTCAGAGACTCATTTTGCCTCACGGCGCAAAAAGGCCCTGTTCCAGAAAGCTCGAGCCGAAGTTCGGCTGCAGCTTCCATCAGAATGCGAGGCTGCTTCTCATCTTTGAAATGTCCTGCTAACACTTGCTAACCTACAAATTGAGGCAACCCTCTGCCTAGCAGACCAGCTGGGCGTGCGCTCAGAGGTATCCGACCCAGGAACTCGGACGTTCACCTGCAAACCGTTTTGGAAGCCTGTCGTGTATAGGTGCATTTGGAGTGGTAGGAATCGTGCATGCTTGACGTTTGGCCGTGCATCTCTCCGGCAGTCAGGTTGAGCTGTAGTTCTTTTGCTGATGTTGAGTGTGCCCCTTCTGTTTGGACAGACGTAGTTATACGATCATGAATACAGAAAGGCGGGAATTGTGATGGTAGGTTGCAATGCGCCGATGCACGGTTGTGGTTGGGCTAAGAGGAGGTATCACATGATAGATGTTGGTTCCAGCTGCTGTGAATTTGAGTGGGCAACAAAACACGCTCACCTAATGGGACAGCATCTTGTTCAGGCACCCAACTTGGGCAGTGATAACTCGCTCACTGATTTCGAATGGTCATTAGCCTAGACCACAAATCATCAGCGCACGGCCCTTACAAGGTTGAGCGACTTCTGGCAGGAGCAGCGTCCATGCCTCGGGATGCAGGATTGGTAATTCGCATGCTGGCCATGGTAACACTGACCAGGTCCAATGAGTCGGCGCCAACAGCACCCAAGGAGGCTCCAAAGGCTCTGCAATTGGTCATGGACACTAGTTGTCCAAAGCAAGAAAGAAGAGAGGCTCAGGAGGCTGCTGCTGCTCCTTCCGCTCCGTCTCCAATTGCGGAGGATGGCAACTTTTCAACATGCACCAATGACAGTGCATCAGTCCTCAGGCTCAGCGAGCGAAGGAAGCCGGCACTGCGCTGTGCGCTACCTACGTTTGGAAAGAAGGTTTTGTCACAACTCGTTGAAGCAGGTACAAAGATGGGAATTACCGAGGAGCATTGGCTGAATACCGAAGAGCTCTGGACCGGGGCTTTCACTCTCTTGTTGTTTTCTTGGGCTTCTTCCAAGACTCTGAGCTTTGAGCTTTAGTTGCTTCAGGACGCAGTCGGACAAGACACTGCTCTCCGGGCGCAGCTGTTGGGGAATGTCGCAGCAGCGTGCCGCCTTCAGAACGTGCAGGATGTGGAAATGGCTTGACGCCTCATGCCTTTCTGGAAGGTGCCTCATGCTCAAGCGGGCGAGCGAGTGTGTTGAAGCCTGCACAGAGTGCCTTGTCGATGGCTCAGTACAACGCAGGCCTCTTGCATGTCGGCGACAAAGTGGCTACAGTTTTCTGAGGCATTGGACCCATCAAATGTCAAGGTGCGTGCTCGACTTGCTTCTGCGCAGGTGGCTCGCACGTGTAATCACACCGTTGGTTTTGGCGACTCGTTTTGCCTGAAACATCAGGTTGCCAGCGGTCACTTTGACGCTGCCCGGTCCACGCTGGGCCAAGCCCTGGCCTAAGATCAAAAACAACCTACATCTACGACATCTACAGCACCTGTAGCACTTGTCGGGCCTGTCAAGATCTTAAGTGGAGGTGGGCGATGACGCAGTGCTCGCAAATGCGCTAAAGCAAGTAGGCATGGACTTGACACACCAGGGTTGATCTGCTGAGAGTCACGGCCTGTGTTTGGTGGGTGTTACCCTAGGTCTGGATCAATGCGTGGGGGAGAGAGAGATATGCCAGTTCTGTGCAGGCAGCACGGAGTCGAGCCTTGCGGATGCAGATCAGGCCATTCCCATTACTTCTTACGGAAAATCGCCAATCACGGAGATGTAGGGCCTTGTGCAGTTTCTCAGTAGACAACTAGGAAGTAGCAGGAAATAGGTAGGAGGCCTCAGAATGGTCCAGACAGCAGCTGCCACGCACAGCAGCCGGAGGCCCTTGCCAGTGGCGAACCGGCGAAGGTTTTGGTTTGGAGGCGTTCTCAGTTGACTTCCAAAGCTTTTGCAGCGAGGCTTTGCACATGTATGCCAATTTGGAGTCTGCGGAAGCCGTCTCAGATGACCTCGGGCATGAAATTCTGGCAACGCAGCTGGGCATCTTGGGTTTGTTACGCGACTTCTGAGGCTCTTTTCGATTTTCCGCCGTTGACCCTGAAGATGGCGCAATGCTACTTAGATCCTTAGAAGCACTTGGCTCTCCCGCTGCCGCAGGTGGAAAGAGCCAGGAGATTCTTTGGCACAGCGATTGTGTGATGCCCAGGAACTGAAGCAGTATCCGCGAGTTCTGTACCACTGTCATGTTATGACCATCTGTGACTGAAAGGCTTTGCGTGATGAGGAATTTCTGCTCTAGACTTTCCTCGGTGATGTTTAAAAAAGCTGCCAGGAACACGACGCAGCAAATCTTGCGAACGAATCCGCGCAACATCAGTGCCTTAGTCCTCCGCACCCAGGCCATGGTAGACTGCTGTATGTGCTACTTTTTCTATCGGGACACAAGGACAGAGTACGGCTGGCAAGATGCAGACATGTTGACTGTGAAAGCTGGTGGCAGACACTCAAAAGGGGCTAAGATACGGAGTTTTGCTTATTCGTTGTGCTGCAGCAATCTATGCTCCAATTTACTAGATGGCCGGAACAAGAATACTTTTGGAAAGTGGTCTTGCACCAAGCTTGAAGCCGCACTAGTAGGTGCAGTCCTAGTTCTGTCGACCTCTAGACTGCGACACATCAGCGGTATACTTGAGATCTCTGTTTGGAAGCGCAAAAGCATGCCAGAATGATAGCACAACTTCAGCCCTGATTCCAACTGGTCCCTTCGCTTCTGCGCCAATGTCAGCGGCACTTGAGAATGAAGCAGCCCCTGCTCTACGCCAGCGAGGAAAGCCAGATAGCTTTCCGCTGCCAACGTGCTGTGTCCCTTATCGAGCCTAGCAACGCGCAGGGGCCTCAGAAGCTGTGGCAAGGATGGATGCAGATAAGCTTCTGGTTGGGACTCCTTGGCTTAGTTGTAACTGAGATACTGAGGGTACATCAGCGTTGCAAGAAGTGCGAGAAGCCGATGCCTGGCTTGAAAACATTCAGCCAATGCTCTGTTTGATGGCACGCTTCGTGGCCTAGGGGCCACCAGCTCTCTCAGGCAGTACACGCCTCTCCTCTACAAGGGTTTGTGCGAAGAGTGCCTGGCTCCCAGCAATCAAATTCACTCAAGCTTAGGTTGTGTAGAGGTACAAAGTGTCCAGGTGCACAGACGGCCCCAAAGATCTGCAAAATCTGAAGCTTGTCTCGCACTGAAAAATGGGACGGGCACTGTGGTCAACAAGCGGTTAGCCAGACGTACAGCGATGTTTTAGACGAACCGTTCCGGCATGTTAACTTTCTGCTACGGAGCGCAACATCAGGCTTCTGCATAGCATGCCAAACAGCCCAGGCAGGGGCCTCCTGCGCAGCCAGAAACACGGTGCATCTGGCCTATGCGACAGATGTTACACCAGGTTGCCGCAGCTTGCCTGAGTGGAAACATTTTCGCACGTGTCGAAGGGATCTTTAGAACAGTTCGTATCTGTCACATTCCTAGGCAATGCAAAGGATGTGCCAGAATGTTGAAAGTGCGGCTCGGCCATGAAAAGGCTTCTTGAAGTACGCGCGCCGTGGAATTTAAGCTCTGCGCCAGGACTGAGATGAAATTCAAGACCGGGCTATGCATCCTGGCTTTAGTGAGATGGCCTTGGTCAGTGGAAATGCCTTCTGTTCCACGCCGCTGGCAGGCGATGATTGCTGGGCTTCCTGCAAGAAAGCCTGCTTAATGTGTGGCTCGAGGCTTTGCTGCCTTTTGAGACATGTGCTTTTGTGTGTTGCAGCTTTGCTCTTGAAATTTGAAATGCTGAGGACAATTTCACTCGGCGAGCCGCTTTTCTGAGTAGAGGACATTCATGACCTGTCAATCCGGAAGTGTGTGCGTCGCGTACAGCTAGCCTTGGCTCTGGGACCTTGAATCCTGTTTTGATCGTCTGGCAGATTCTGGCAGTACATCTATATCCCCCTATAGAAGCCCCATTTAGTTTTGTAGTATCCGTTTTCTTTTCCAGTATCTCAATATAACCCCATTGTAACCCTATAACCCCTAATTAACCCCTATATAAGCCCTTAAATCCCTGTAGCTTCCATTTTCTTTTCCATTATCCACTTTATTCTCTGTTGCCTCTGCATAAGAAAGGCAAAAAGGACCTCCGCCTTCGCACTGTGAAAATCAAGGTCTGGCTGGAAAACTGCGATGTGTAAAGTCTGCTCGAGCGGTCGAGAGGCCTGCACAAAGTGCAATCTCCTCTGTCCAGATTTGTGCTATAGTCTAAACTCCTTAAATGGGCTTATATAGGGGATTATGTAAGGAAGTATTATAGGGGTACTGATTTGAATATTAGGAGTTTAGCCTAAAGATCTGTCAAGTGCATCCCGTGCTGCGCATTGCTTGCCGTTGCCTGTTTTTGTGCAGGTCAAGTGCAGGGGATGTGTCCAGAATGCAAAGCGAAAGGGGTATGCATGGCATTGGCATGCAATGCATTTTTACATGCAGAAGAGATTCATGCAAAAGTGCTTGAGCCCAGGTGACAAGACAATCTCGCTCGAGGAAATTGGCTGGCGAACAGGACCAGTCCAGCAGCCACAAGCTTTGAATCTCGTAGTTGCGGAAGATTTGCGTAGGAGTTTGTAATGAATGCTATGACACTATTGGCGGATGCCGTGCAGCTGTTTCGAAGAAGCATCGCCACATCCGATTCTTGGCTCAACCAAGCCAGCTGCAGGCGAGGTAGGAACTGATTCCAGGAACCGATTCCCTTGAAGATCTGGTTTTCTGACCAAGGTTTGTGTGATGCTTGCTATGCGAAGTACAACACGACCTGCGTCCGGTGCAACGAGAACATTCCGGACGACGAATTGTCTATTGGCCGCACACATGAAAATGGGCAGAGATTGCAAGAGAAGGAACTGCAAAGACGTGAACACAGGGCTGCAATTGCTGGAATAAATGAGGCAGACCAAAGGCATTCCCCCTGATGCCCCAAATCCACATGAAGCCCCAAAGCGATAGGGATTTCCACAAACCGGAACAGAAAAATTGGCCCTCATATTTTCAGACACTCGAGGGCTTCTCGGGGTAAAGCTTGTTTGGTGAGCCAGTGTCTTCTGGGTTAAGTGAGTTTCACAGGCTCCTCTGAATGTCCTGTGAGCTGTATGGTACCCCATAATATGGGGTTTAGGGCCCTATAATGGAGAATCAAATGGACAAGAAAATGGAAAATGAAATGGAAACTGGGGTTATATAGGGGTTATTTGAGTAGGACTTCTGTATGCCTGTCTCCCCCAGGCTCCAGCTTTGCAAGCACTGATGACTGCAAACAGTTAAGTCTCACTTCTCTGTCCATGACATGACTGACATGTTTACACACTGGTGCTGCTGAGGAGATATACTTCAGGGTTATGCGATTTTTGCTACAAGGCTCGGAAGCAGTGGTTAGATCAGAGGAGTAGGCATGTTCCAGACTCTTTTCTGCCAGCTTTAGCCGCTACACCGCTACAGGATCTTGACAAGAAATGCATTTGCGGCTTCGCTGCAAACAGTGCCTGCAGCTGTGGCCAGCTGTTTCGTCTTCCGCGTCTGCGAGCTTCTTAATGCGATGCGGAGGTTGTAAGAAAAAGATTCCACTGAAACAGCTTCGCTGGGGATCTGGACTCTGCGATGCGTGCTACAACAAGTCCTGCAACTCCGCGGCAGATGTTGGCCGGTGCTGCAAGTGTTGTACCAACTCACAGATGCACCTGACCCACAAGACGCCTGAGCCAGGGCGCTTGCCCGGCGCTGCAAGGGCGGTTCCTCTAGAAGCACGGGAGCAAAACAAATCTGCAGCCAAGGCATGGAGTGCAGGATGTGCAGAGCGGCCATTAGTCTCTTTGCTGCACTACGTACGTCACTACGCCTCGTCCCCACACTCTGACCTTTGCCTAGCCTTGGCCCCTCTCAGGCACTCAGCAGGCCAGGCCTTCCTGTAGCACAGTTGCAGCACAAAGCATTTGAGCTCTCTGGCCTTTGAGCTTCGCTAATTTGCACGAGCTTCTGCCAGACCGACTTTCATGGCGTACGTCTTTGCGGCTCGGCTTCCAGCATGGCACCTGCTTAGAGCATTCAAAGCACGGCCTCGGCCATGGAGGTCTTTGCTGTCTCCCACGCTGAGGTGCAGGATGCTTCAAATCCTTGACAGGCCCTTTGCGACATGTATTCCACTCTTGCAGCTGAACTTTAGGGCTTCGGTAGCTCCAAGACCACAAGCTGAATCCTGCGAGATAATGAGAAGACCTGCAGCAAGTGCAACTTCAAGAGCATTTCGGTTGGTGCAGCTTGCCTGCAATTTTAGATGCCTGCGCACCTTCTGACCTTTGGGTTCTCACAATTCAGGATCCCTATTGGGCAGCTGGCCTGTGCAAAGCCTGTTGGGAAGCGCCATCGCCGGAAGAGCAATCACGGCACACGCCTTAGAAGGGAGCTGACGCATGCCGCATTTGCTGCGTACTTTTAGCTCCCGACCATCAAATCCTGGAGGCAGATGGGCAGGCCAGCGAGGCGATCAAGGCAAGTGCAGTTTTTGACAGTTGTTTGCAAGACCGTGCAAGCGCATCATCCTACAATGTTGCCAGGGCCAATTCCTTTGACCAGCTGCCGACCTACTACCGCGCAAGGGCAAAAGCAGGCGCAAACAGCTTGTAGGATACATCAAACTCTTCCGAAGCGGTGGGATTATGTGTTTGCGGCAGTGAAGGTCATCTGCACATGTCGTTGCGCCTAGGATCGGCTAGTAGTTCAGGTGCCATCCCTTCATATGGCGACCTCGTGACATGTACAGTTGAACTCAATGCCACCGAGTGCTGGACAGGGAGGCTCCCTCCCACTCGCAGAAAGTGACCTGTGGGCCTGTGGCAGGCCGCAGCTTGACTCTCTACAGTGCCAAGTCCATGTCGCTGCTCAGCGACACCGAGCGGGCTGAGGGCCTGCGGCTGACGCGCAAGGCAAAATGCCTGAAAGCCGATCAATGCAGGTGACGCTTCAGGTAGCCTAATTTTCCATGGCAAAGTGCGAAGTGCAGCAAGCAAACTACTTAGGGCAGTAGCCGGGTCTGCAGGGGTTTACGAGACTTCAAGCAGTTTCGCATGCCTTGAGGCCCAGGCTCCTTGCCAGCTTTGGCTGCTCTTCTTCTCCTTGGGAGCCCCTTGAAGCAGAAACCCTGAAGCCTGATATTCACTGCATCTCCTGCACGGCCTGAGGTGAGTGGCTGGTTCTTATCCAACGCGATTTTTGCTTCGCTGGGCCTCAGTTAAGCTGCTGTGCAATGCTTGAAGCAGGAGCTCTTGGCATGAGCTTGAAGAGGTGAAGTGCTGAGGTTGCCCCTGTTCATCGCCAAGCTGGCCGAAGGAGCTGGAACTGCGAGCATAGTCAATGCCAGCACACAAATAGGAGCTGCCGGAGCCACTGTTGAGCATTCATTGATTCCACGAATGCCCCGCCATTGCTCCGGCCAAGGTCTTCTCGATCGCATACCATGTCATCGCGTATAACCACGACCTGGACCTGAAGGTGAAGCAAGAATAATTCAATCACGCATGCCATGGAGCTTGCAGAAAGTCTTGTTTACCAGCTAGCAGCTCTTGAGCGACGGAGAGCATTCTTGACAATTTGGTCTGATATCTGGAAGACCTAGAGGCTTGCGCGCCGGGAGGCGCATGCCACCTGAAACGCTTTAAGTACCAAGCAAGCCACTCCCACCCACCCGCACCATCCCGCACCTGAAGGCTCCCCCCTCGAGAGATTTTGTCAAGTTCCCGCAAATCGCTCATGGAGCAATCAGCCTCGGTCAATTTTTCGTTGCAAACATTCGGGCTTAGTTTTTGCGCTTTGGTTGCTTGTTCATTGGAGAGTTTGGAGCTCAACATTGAAATTATGTCTAGGGGCCAAGACAACTTTCAAAGTGACCGACCAGGAGAACGTTGCGAGGGTCATGTGGGAGCAGCGTAAGGAATCATAATTGACTATGATTTCCTCGATTTCCAAGAAAACTGCATAGGCTTCGTGACGTTTTTATTTGAAAGTAGAAGTGATAATGAATAAGCTACACGAACGTGACTCATAATCATAAAATGCCCAAATTGCCGTTTTGTGCGAGCATTATACAGGAATGTACGTTCAAGAGTCCGATGGACTTCTGACCGGTTTCCAGTACCTTCTCAAGTTCCTCCTTGCATCTGGTTTCGTATCGCTTTTGTTAAGCAGAAATGAGAGAAATAATCTCAACAATCTTGCTGGACTTGGGGCTGGCTTTTCTTTCCGAACTAGAAACCTGTGTCATGGCCGCGGTTGGTGCATTGGTCCCCATTAGATAGCTACTGGCCTTCGAAGCAAACAGAACTGTGTGACAGTCGCGGCACTTGCTAGGCGGTCGAGCTGCAAACAGTTGCCTGTTGTGCAGGCCAGTGTGTCTGCGAGCATGGAGCGCCTGGGCGAATCAGCAGTAAAGGACAGAATAGGCTGAATTGAGTAAACTAATCAACTAATGATGTCCTCCAAGGAAGATGAGTGAGCAGCGCCGGATGTTTAAGGAGGAGCAGGTGCGAAAGAAGGCTGACTGGTAGCCAAGCAGTAGTTGGAACATTGCATCATTTAGGCCCTGAAGACACTTGCGCGTGTTACCTTCATTCGGCTAGAGGCAGCGGCAAGCGCGGCTTTGGCAGTCCACACTGGTCAGTTTGCTGCGGTGGCTGCGCTGTCCATCTTCGTGCTCGTGCAGCCCAGCGCAAGACGGAAGAGTTAATACTAGAAGCTTAATCATCTCAACGTGCTGAGTTACTTGGGGTTACTAGCAGTATAGCACGCAGCGCAGTTCACCACGCTACGAGGTGGATGTGCTACGAATGTACAGCTGAGCTCGTCTTGCTGTCGGCAGTTGCAGGCACGCGGTTCGCCAAAGAGCGTATCGGTCAAGATACATGTAGCATAATATACCGAGCGAATGAATCGAGCGCAGGCGCAGTGGGCAATGTTGGAGCCTCTTGGCAAAACGAATGCACGTGGTTGTGTGTGGGACCGTGACCTTGGAGGGCTGAAACGGAGTTGTTATGCCATCTTGCGTGGCATCGGCCACGCCGCTGGAGCTCTCAGGATCTGACTGCGTGGCCGATTGCACTCCAGCTTCCAGACCGCATCATGCTTTCTGAAGCTTTTCTTTCTGTATTGCACTCAAGGTTTTCTATTCTGCTCTGCCTTAAACAGTGCAGATGGGCTTGAGGCATCCGAGCCGATACGCAGCCGCCTCTTGCCCTTAAACAGCGCATTTTGTGGCATTCAAGAGCCAACTGCTATTGTGATGGTGACATGCGCATGTTTCTGGCACAGGCGATTCAAATTGGTGGATCCGTTAGTGGAGTGTTACCCAACCTCATTGAGGCTCTCCGACCTTGCACAACTTCGGCTAGGTTAGATGCTTTGACTATCTGCCCTGGTCTGCTGGTCCGAGGTGGTTGTTGCAAGGTTTGGCATCGTTTTCTACTTCTGCATTGTCATTGTCCTGCTTCTCGTCAATGATCAGTGTTGCGAGGGCATGGGACACAGATGCTGGTGTAAGAGGAGAGGAGTCAGAAGCATCCTAACCAGGCAAATGGGGCTGTGGCTCATCATCAGTGCGAAAGACGTGGCTGGCAAGTTTTCTTGCAGCTCCTACTTTTTTGCGGAAAAGGCTGGACCTTTCCATGAAACCTGAGACGCAACAAAATACGAAGACAGCAATGCGCACTAGCTGTACATTACATGCTGAGATAATGCAAGTCAAGCATTATTTTGGACATTATTTGCAATACCATGATCACAACCACTGATTATTAAAGCTTTTAAGCTATGATTCCAATTTTCTCGACAGATGTAGGTGTGCTATACGGCGCAGTGCAAACAACGTGTTGGTGCCTACCTTGTACTTCATTCATGAGCCAGTAATTTTCACACGTTTGCATGCTTTCCAAAAACATCGAAACAAATCTTCATCCCAGACTTAAGCCTTTCACATTACAATCATTGGCACCCTCACATTTTCCATCTAGCAACTTTGCCAGTAACTGCTCTTGGTAGGCATAGCCTTTATGACTGCTGCCAACTCCTGCAACCATTCCTCTGAAATGTTGCCTGGATCTTGTTCTTCCTGGCCACTCTCAAGGAAGCTTAGCCTTTGCAACTGTCCACTTCTCCCACATACTTCGGTGTACATCTTGCAACTTCTGAACCCTCCTGGATTAAAAGAGTTCGAGAAAAAGACCGTTCTTTAACTTTGAGAAGGATGACCGCAGCTCACTCCCATGCTTCCATGTTCACACCCAGCTATGGTCTTTATGGTTGAGTGCCAGCTTGCATCGTGGAGGGCACAGTGCATCAAAGATGTCCGAAGGATAAGAATGCAAGTGCACTACCCCAGATCGAGACCACTTGCCAGTAGATCAAGCTGCTCTGCCAACCACCTTTAGAGAACAGTCCATCCAGGTGTCATCATTTGGTGCTTTCCTCGGCTTAAGATTGAGGAATCTTGTCTTAATTACCTGGGAAACTTCCTCACCATCCTCGCCCCTTCAGGGAAGAATGGATTGGGGCCTACTTAGGGGTTTAAAGCTTAAATTGTCCAAACGTAACCTACGCGCACACCTTGAATCGCCACTTGTGCAGAACTTTTGGCTTGAAAAAAGGTACACCTAATGTCGGGAAACACTAAACCCTATATATCCCCATATATCCCTATATCTCCCCTATATATCCCCTATGTATCCCCTATGAATCCCTTATAATCCCCTTAAAGGTACCTAGTCAAGCAAGCCTTGATGTGTTGATTGCTTGATTGTCATGCCATGAATATGCTTTGCAGGACGAATCCGATGATATTTGTTCTCTTGTTGCAAGGCTCACTTATGTAGATACTCATGCATGAATTATAGTCCTCACCGATGTACATGGGCGGGTTCCCAAAATTGGGGTCCCCATTATGGTAGGCCCATAATTTTCAGAATAACCCATATATCCATACATAATATAGTCAACTTCTTATAGATAAGCGCCTTGTGTCAGCGTATGTCTTTGTCTCCAGTGCCTATCTATTCTTTTGATAGCATGCTGCCACATAAGCCAATGAGGTTGGGGCTTAGCTTGCAAAGCCTGGAGGATGAAAAAGGAAAAACCAAGATCCCTCGACAGAAGCAATCGCATTCCCGACAGAAGTAACCTTTAACATTGCATGAACCAGGCTTGTTTGCGAGGGCAATGCTGCTTTCCAGTCATGCTTACCAGCAGTTAAACGTAGTGGAAGTTGATACGCTTTGCCAAATTAAAAGGGAAGCAGATCCACCGACAAAAAGCAATGCCCTCAGCTCTCTCCTTATGTGGAAAACGTATGCTGCCAATGATTCTGTTGCATCTTGGCTATGGAGATTGCTGTTGGACTTGAAAGCGGACAGCGGCTACAGCAGCTGAAAGTTCATCAACTTTGAATCCTGAGCCAAGGGAAATGAATCAACCAGTCCGACAAAAGCATGAATTCTAGGAACGTATTTGTTCCACCACCATTCTGAACGATAAGGGACATTGAACGATGCTTTGAAGCCGTCAAGTTCTCGGAGACGGAACATCTAACGTCAAGACCTGGACGGACGGAAAGGGCAAGACTAGTCGCGTAGGTTGTCAAACTCACGCAAATGCAAATTGGATGCTACTGCTTTCTGGCATGGTTGCGCCGAGCATCAAATTCGGTTAAACTGCTGCAATCATGCACGAAGAATCACAACATTACGATCAATGCATCAGAAGCTTGTGGCAGCATCAAAACAGGAAGCACGCAAAGTGAAGTTTGGAGATAGGTCATTCTGCATGTGTCTGGGCTGATGGCCTTTGACTGGTGGAACCAATCGGATATATGCCCTGTCCGGGCTCCTGTGTTGCGCGCACAACCTTTGAGCTTTTTTTGTATTCATGTTTGTTTTCAATATCCAGAACACGGCCTTTCAGAAAACCTGGGATCTAAACGTGTTCATCAGGCATCTCAAAATTTGTGGCTTACGACGATCACAGCGCATGATGGCTCGTATCTCACCCACCGACCAGAAAGGACGGCAACAACTTTGTGCCAAGAGCAGCATTGCATCGGAACATACCGAACGTTTGATTTGAAACAATTCCAAATCAGCGAATAAATATGCATATACAGACCCATGAAGTCTAGAGGCTTGCCTTCCAGTGACGCACCAATCCTTTAAGGTCAGGCTGCTGTGCTGCTTGTATTTCCGCACGTTTGCAAAGCGTGCCAATGAACAGCACCCTCAAGCAGGGTTCATGACAAACCACTCTTACTCTTATCCATCACTTTGTGGGTCTGCTCAGACCATTTTTGTCCAAAAAACAAATAGAATGCAAATCATTCATGATTTGTGTCTACAGTGAGCCAGCTCCTATCATTTTCTTCTGTTAGCACATTTGGCAGCTGGAAGATATGTGAGTGCATGTGTCGTTTGTGTGGCCTTGCCCTTGGCACTTGAAACCTTGCAAAGAAACAACGTTAAACATGAAAGTGTGTTTTCTTGGCAGGTCAAATGCAACTGCGCTGGTTGCGATGGCTGTAGCTTGTTTTCAAATGGCCAAAGCGCCAACGGCCCGACCCTCAGTCTGATCTGCCTTGCCCACCGGTTCTCCCCTTTCCCGTTCCAGGTGTGACAAATGGCGAAACAAACCATGAGATGACCCTCGCAAAGCCAATTTCACAGGAGTGATGCAGTTTTTTTCTCAGCAGGTGGCACCCAGATGTTATGCTGTGCCCCTCAAAGAGGACAGATTGTCGACATACTCCTCAGATGCTGCTGTTGGCATTACTGAAATGGCCCGAAGGTCGGTTCGTCCGTCGCCGTAGTCAGGAATCAAATCCGGCAATGTTGGCTTTTGCGACAGGACGGCCGCAGGAATCTGCGATGGAATACAAGGATTTTACAATGCTTTGCAGGGCGATCAAGAAGCATATGCAGATGTTCCTCATATCAAAGACGTTCCAGGTGTTGTGTTGTAGTGTATTCTTTTTATCTCTTCGTAAGGACAGCACCTGATCCAAGGCTCGCTGGCTTGTTGCATTCTACACTTCCTGTTCCTTCGTATCTAGGCGGGATGTTTGCCAGCCTGCTATCTGGCAAGCTCAGAACAATATTCATTTCTCAGGATGCACACGGAGGTGCTTGCTGTCCCTGACTTGACTTCCCTGAAGGGCGATGTGCTACAGCATCCCTTCTTTGCTGCCCTTCATCGCCAGTCCGTACGGGCTTCAGAAGCAGCAGCATCTTGCCATTGCTAGTGCGCGCATTTGATGAAGCCTTGCATCATTGCATTGTGCGGCCCAGCCAGTTCCAGCAGTCTGGCAGCTAAGGATGTACGAGAGCATGAATACATTGCACCTTGCAGCAGTCATGCATGCCTCTGGAAGCCTTTCTGCGCCGCTGAATCCAAGCCAATCATGTAGATTTGCACGCCCCGGCTCTTGTTTCCGCAGCACTTGTTGAGGTACAATCTTGGAAACGTCATAGGGCGAGTCTTGTGCCAATGGTACAAGCCGCACAGCTTCATGCTTGTCTGGGCCTTATGTTTCATTAAGCACAGCCGTGGGCGGTGAACCTGTTACCGCGGGGACCCCGGAACCTGATGTATCTGATGTCTAGGTCTGCAGCTTCATGCTTGTCCTCGTGACCTTCATTTGTCTGGTGATATGAAGCTCAGCTGCAGAAGATTCAACATGACCCGTTATGAGCAGCCCGACATCTGCATCAGCCTGAGCAAATCTGATTGCACACAAGCTTGGCTCTTTTGTGCTGAGGTTCGGTGTGGCCATATCGTGTCGCAGCTGTTTTGCCAACAGTTGTGGCAGTGTGGGGCATACCGATCATAGCTCTTGAGCTGCAGAATCTTTCATGTCTATCATGAAGTGTTTCATACACGCTAAAACCCACACACAACACGAGGTTGGAATCTTCAACCTGTCCGTCGGTCTCATGTCTACTGGCTTGCAGCTTGCCGCAAGAGAACCTTTGGGCTGTATGGCTGGGTAGATGCGGCGCGTGCGCCGAACGCTTTCCTTTCCGAGGTTTGCTTGCAACGTGTGCATCTTGTAATGCCCACGATTCACGTGCTTGCACGATTGTCCTTCTGCCCAAATATGCCAGTCAGAGAATAACAAACTGCGGACCAGACAAACTGCGGACCAGCACCTCTCTTATCCAAACAGCAGAACGAGTGAATTTAGCACTGTGTTGGTGATGCCTTTTTTCTTTTTTGCGAGATGTGGCAGTGTGAGGAACCTGGCTGGTGGTAGAACCTCTGAGCTAGGGATTAGCCATGCTTGAAATCTGTCAAGCAAATCCAGGGATTAGCAGTAGCATCGGTGCCATGCAGGCCTTCAGGTCTGCAGGCACTCCTGCTCACGTGGCTGCGAGGTTTGTCCGAGCGCATGAGGATGCACAGAGCAAGCAGTGCCCAGACACAATCCAAGCAACCATGGGCACCTTGGCAGACCTGGGCTCCCGCATTAGCTCAGAATAGCTTGACGGCTGGGGCTCCATGGGTCAGCTGAGGTTTTTATGGCCAAATAGGCTGCGTGAGCTTTGCGCTCAGTCAGCTAAGTCTGTTGCAGAGCCTTTTCGTGGCATGTGCCATCAACAAAGTGCTCGCACTTAGGCGGCAACATTCTGGTCTTTCTTGTGATCAACGTTTTCCATTTGCTGTAGACGTGACGCGCATGCAGCAATGCCGCCGGGCTCAGCCAAACTGACTGGTTGGCCAGGCTGGCGCACGGAGACGCCGCACAATAGTTGCGCCTGTGATCTCCTAGTTTTCGGAAGCTCGGGCTTCTAAGGTAGGCATATCGTGTAAATAGTTTCTATGGCTGTTGCACTTTCGGGAGCTTGTCTGCTCAAACCTCCCGTCCAAGTTGCACCAAGCTTTGTATTTTTGTCGGAGCTGCTCGAAAGTGTTGTGCCATACTCTCGCAATTGCCCGCTGGGAGCAGGCGGATCCAGCCGTGGGCCCAAATTTGTCTCCGTGGGTTTCAATACTCGGAGAGCAGGGCGAGCGAGTGACGGACTTCTGTCCGCGGGCAAGCAGATGCAGCTTTTACTTTAATGCTGCAGGCTTGACCCTGCAAGGGGCCATGCCGCGAGATGCAGACCGTCGAATTTGAACTACCGAAGACAGTCCTGTTCTGGTTTGCATGCATTGTCACCAGCAGTCGATGAGCATTCCCATCTACCCGTTAGGCACTATACCGGAACAATTCTGCTGGTGCAGAGTCGAAGCAATGGGCAGGGAGCTGAGGCCTCTGTGCGCACCACAAGGTCTCAAGCATCCAAGCGCAACATACCGCTCGTGGAATCACGCATTTGATGACATCAAGCTCTTGAGCCCCATGGTTCTTCACGCCTCGTGACACGTGAACTTGTGTGGCGAATATTGGCAACAGCAAATTCAATGGCTGCAACTGGCAGGTCCAGCAGATGTGATTAGAAGCTGTATGGACACCTGGCCTGCTGGCAGTTGGAACTGCCATCACACTGTTGTAAGTACTGCAGGCATATGTCCCTGAGTAACCACCGTGGCAACAATTGCAACCAGCAGTAGTTCTTAACAATTCGTGGCGCAAGCCGAGGTGGATCCTCTGGAGCAAGGGCAGAAGCTGCTGAAGGAGGCTCTATACTCCATACCCATCCATTTGCACAAGAATGTGTGTGTGTAGTGTGTTAAGATTTGGCATCCCAGTGGTTCGTGGCGTTTCATGACCACTTTGTACACAGTATCTTCATTCAGTGCACACTTTTTCGTGTACTTGTTGGTGACCATCCTGCATACAAATCATAAACAGCTTGGCTTATCCGAACCCAGAGAGGCTCTTTCGCTGGATCCGGACCATGCCGAGGCTCAGGTGGCCAGAACTATGAGTTCAGCAGCAAGCCGTTGAATTCCTCGGTCCTCATGTAAATTGTTCTACACACCACTGGACTTGGAAGTCACCATGGATCTCTTGTCCGAGATGCCATGCATCGCGCACGAAAGCTTGGAGTCCGAGAGGCCCTTCGTAAGCGGCTGCGCGGATTGTGCAGCAAGCATGCGGAACTGAAGGACAGGGTCTCGGTAGGGATGTGATGCTTTCATCAATCCGCATCAGATGGACAGATGTCAACGCTGAGTTGACAAGTTGCGCGGTAGAAAGCGTGGGGATTTGGGTCAAAGTCAGAGCACTCAGGAGTCGATGGACAGTCGTGCCTTGGCCAAATATTACTGTTTGTCAGCTTCAATACCAGTGCTTTTTGGGTTGCAAGGTGATTTTGAAAAAGGCCAGCAGATCATTGACAGTGCCTCATCTGCACTGCATCCGCAGGGCCAAGTTGTTGCCGCCAAAAGGCTGATGGTCATTTGAATTGAATCCAGGTATGCTGGAGCTTTGTCCAGACAGCCCTGCCGCAAGCTCAAGTTCAGGGTGGAAAATGAGTACATCATGCCAGGTGGAGTAAAGTGACTAGATAGCATGCATGCCTGCAGAAGCTGCTGAGACCCGAGGTGATGCTTGCCTCGCTGTATTGCGAACGAGCCAAAGCCTGCATGCGATTGAAGGACTGGAGAGGTGCCAGCGCCTTGGGACAGCTATCAGCTTCCACAGGCCTCCATGCCGCTGTCACAACTCGTGAGGATCGGCTTTCGAAGGTTACCATAATTTTGCGATCCATCGCCCATTATTTTGGCACAATGCAGCTCAGGTTCTGAAAGATGTCGGTCAGGCCACCTACCGCAATCACTCGCTTGGCCCTCAAGCATACGAAGCCGTTCAGAAGTCGTATGGTGCCGTGGAGAGATGAGCCGGCCCGAACTACGACAAGCGTCGCTGAGCTATCAGCCCAGATTGGATGTATGCATAAGAAACCTCACCGAAGAACGTGATTGCCAAAACTATCTTCACGTACTGACCTTGAGTTTGCCTGGCTTGCTGAAAGCTCTCTCACGACTCGTTGTTGTTTGCTAGAAGTTATGACGCTACGGCAACCTCCCCAGCACGCGAAGCTCAGCGATTGCCCAAGCACAAATCGTTGTTTCAGTTGACAGTGTTCATAGGACAAACGCTTTAAGATGTGCAATGCTGCCCTTTGGCAATGATGTGCAGCGTCAGCAGAGACAGTCAGGTTTTCAGGGATGTTCTGTCTGAATACGTTTCAGTTCTGCGAGACTTTTGGCTTGAAACAGGGGATCGTCCGCAAACCCATGCTTAAGAAACTATAGATTAAGCACGCATGATGCCAAATCACTGTTGGCAAAAGCTCGCGAAAGGACGGCAAAAGGTTTGCGAAAGGTTCAAAAATGGTCCCAACAACTTCGTTTGTAGAGTGAGCTATGGCCGTTTTCTGACGGGCCCTTCCTGACAGGGTTGCTTTGGCTCAGGTCAAGCATTGCACCGAGTCCATTGCAAGTTGGGTCCATGGAGGCTTTCATGGCTATGCTTTTCTGGAAGCACATGACTTAATTGCCATAATTCAGGAATGTGCTAAGGCACAATCACTGAGGTGGGAATGCAGCTCCGGCTCAGCCCCTCAAATTTCCTAGGTAGGGGCACGGGAGCCATGACCCAATCCTGGGAGGACTGCTTGAAAAAAGTTGAGGTTCCATTTCCTGGGGATGCGGTGATCAAGGCTACAGCCACATTCTTCAATGACAAGCTTCAAATTAAACATCCTGCCCTAGCAGAAGGATATGCTGAAGATCAGATTGCCGCGCGGTTTCGAGCTGAGCTACCAGTGCAAGCTTGCATTAAAAGGGCCCTACGAGCTGTGGAGGCTGTGGCTCAGTCACGTAGAATGGCTCAGGCCACTGGAACTGCCACAACAGCAGCGAGTGTGCCGGCAACCTCTGCTCACAACTTAGCCAAGTTGCTAGCTGCTAGCTCCTACTAAGACTGCTGATGTGGCCACCTTACTCCAAAAAGCTGGCTTGCAGAACCTGTCCTTCAGCTTGCAAGCCGAGCAGGCACTGTGGAATAGCATGCAGCAACGCTGCGAGGAGTGTAAGGCATCTTCCCAAACGTTTTCTCTCTATGCTGACCTAACTGCAAAGGAGACATGGCCGATGCGGCTTACCCCAGACTTGACTGGGGGCAAGCTTCAGCTGCATGAAGCTGGCGAGTGGCCCATCGTTAAACGACTTGGGAACGGTTTTTCCGGACTTCCTCCCAATGGTGCGGTGCCTTTCTGCCGCAGTGATCGCGTAGCTACATCGCAACTGTCGCTGCAGAGTGCCATGATCCACTTGGACATTGTTCTGCAGCTTGTGGAACAGGAGCACCTAAAAGGCGACCCTCCGTTTGCAGCGTTCTTGTACGACGAGCGGTTACGAAAAAACTGGGCACGACGTGCAGAGAAGGGGGATCCTGGCTTGGACATACCGGCAGAGGCCCAACAAGTTGACACGGACATTTTGGACATTGCCAGGCATCGCTTGAGTGAGGTGCTGAAAGCTGCTGGGCTTTCAGAAGGAGCTGGTGCGTCAAGAGGCTCGGCAAGTTCAATGCCCGCTTCAGCCGTTGACGAGGTCCTGTCGAGGCAGTCGGCCGCCTCACATTTGGCCCAAAGGCAAGCGGAAAGGGTCACCAAGCAACTTGCTGACACGCAGCATCTCCTTCTCCAGCAAACCCAAGAGATGGCAGCTCAGGCTGAGAACCCTAGTTCCGACAAGTTGACCAAGAATCAGCTGAAGTCCCAGAAGTGGTTTGACAAGATTCGGCAGCGCCGCAAAGACCTGGCCAGCAAGAAGAAAATGCCATGGTCGGGTGGCGAGCGCTGACAAAGAGACACTCAAGTGGAAGCTGGAAGGGGCAGCGTGCCAGAAGTGCTGCTAGAGCTGCCACCCGTTGCAAATCCGCATCCAATTCCTTGGGAACTTCAGCTGGATGTGCCACAGTACAGGCAAGTGCGACATGTTGCAGAGGATCCAGCCCACACCTGGCCCCTAAACCATTAGGCGCAACCTTGGCGGAATTCCCTGCCGCGGTATGATGCGCGATTTGAGGACCATGTAACCCCGTGGGCAAGTTGACACCTTCACACTCGCACACACTCGTGGCCAAGGTCAACACTTCTTGTTGTGAAAAAGCTTCAACAAAACAAGGCTGACGGCTTTCAGCTGCAAGAGGCTTTCTAGAGGCTATACATTTTGAGTTTGAGTGTCAAGCATCTCTTGATCAAATCCTCACGTCTCGTGAGCAACAGTTCAAACAAATTTTGCACACTGCAGCGCAGTTGCAGGACGACCGAGCAGTGTGGATGCAAGGAGTGCCTGTTGAGCTCAGAGGATTTGCTATGGCGCTGCTTGCTCGCAATGGCTGGCTTGGAAGGTGAAGCTTTTCTCGAAGACCTGCAACATGGTTTTGCGCGAGTGGGCGAACTGCCGCGTTGTGAGGAGGCGCCGAAGATTTCTCCTTTCAGGCGGGCGTGACAGTCCATGAGCTCAGGGGATGCAGGGATGAACTCAACCAAGTCGTGCTGCGTGCTATCAAAGAATTTCCTTTTGCCGAAGATATTGCTCCGCAAGATTTTGAGGATGTCCAATTGGGTGCAATGAGTGAACCCGCCTGTTGGAACAAGCGGACCTGACACAGTGTTCCCTCACGCGTAGGATTCCCGTCAGGGAGGTGCGGTTGAAAAGATGGGGCGCGCGCGCGCGCGCGTTGTGGACCACGAAACTAAGGCATCAATGGGACGCGGTTTATGGGTGGCGCAGCGCCAAGGAATGCCTTTCAAGTGTATGCCTGGCGTCGAGTTGGCCACATGCTCGAAGTCTTGGTTCTGCGTCTGTTCAAGGCGCGTTTCGTTGATGATTATTTTGGGGCCAGCAAAGTGGGCGTCAGATTCACAGGCGGCGTGATCTTGAGCTTCTTGGCTACGCTGCTTGGGTTTCCCACCGATCCTGACAAAGACAGCGACCTATGTTTGCGCATGGTAGGTTTAGGCGCTCTGTTTGTAGCAGCAATTTCGAGGAGAGTGTTGAAAACGCGTGTGGTGCTTGGAGTCACTCAGGGGTATGTTTGATACAGGCGCGCTGGCCCCCGGTGACGCTGCTTCTGCCACGGTTAGCGGCAATCGGGCGGTCAGAGCACACATCAAGCATTTGTGTGCTCAGGCACATGCCCCTCTACCCGGAAATTCGCTGTCAGCCCCTGGATGCGGAAGGCCGCTGTGTGGTTTTCCCAGTACTTGTCCCATGCGCCGTCGTCCCAACGTCGTGGCAGTTGGGAGAACCGCGCGCGTGTTGTGCGGCGTTCTGGTGGACCAGAATCCAAACCTCAGAATCGCTGTGGTCGGTGCACCTTGATAGGGGTGATCACCAGATTGGTTTCTAAGATTTGCTCGGGCTCCTCCTCTTGTGGTCACGTTTCAACATGTGTTACGAGGGTCAGGCTGGCTCGCTTTTGTAGATAATGATGGCGTTGTGCGTGCTGTCGCTCGTGGGGGCTGGGGTCCACCCAATCCGCCGTCAATCTGCCTATCAAATCTAACCTGTCCCTGGTGTGTCCATCAGCGATGTTCGCGTCAGATTCGACCTAGCACAGTGAAGATCGACTTGATTGCAGGCCGGTTCAAGCCGGAGTCGCCCCATACCAGCGAAGGATTCACCCCCAATGGGCGTGGCCATGGCAGTTATGGTAAGGAGCTTTGCCGAACGAAGCTTGACAGAAGAAGCGCAATCTAAGTGGGCCTGAGTTTGCAAGGGTTGCTTCTGATTGTCAAAGCTTGCCCTGTCAGGTCACAATATCGAGGCATGGTGGCCCAAAGAATCCCTAAGAGCTCGTTTGGGTGCACTGATGGAGAAGTTGACGACTCGCCCCAGGCTCTCCCGCAAGCTATAGTACATTGAGGCCTCGCAGTGGGTGCAGGATGTCATGCCTGCACTCACAATTTCTGATAGCAAGTTCTTGGCGGGAGCTTTTCGAGCAGCAGAAAATTTGTTGCTGGACAGTGATGACGTTGCGGCTTCTGGGATCGCAGTCATCATCGAATCCAACAAAATTTGGGTTTCACAGCCCGACTGTTTTATTCAAAGACGACAGCTACTGCTCAAAAAGTGGTGGCGGCGGCTACCGCACGGATCTGCTACTTCTATTCTGCGCCGTCCGATGGGAGGTGTGGCGCCCACACAGTTCCGGGATATGGGTCTTTGGCTGGCCAGCGTTGATGGTGCGGGTGGACGAGAACTTCACTTGTCATTTGCATCTTCGAAAGAGGAAACACATGCAGAAAGGATCTGTCATGACCAGACTGTGCACATGCCGAGGGCGCGAGATAAGCAGCGCACATGTTTCTCATCAGCTCCGTCAAGGTCTGCAGCGGGCGAGTCCAGGTCAGATTTTGTTCACCAAGACTGCGTCGAAGTTTTTGAAACGATGTCGGGACTTGTTGAGCTTGCTGAAGTTTCCTGGTTCAGCGCGCTTCGGCTTGAAAGCTTTCCGAGCAGGACAATCCCATCATGATGATGGGGCAGTGATGTAGTGCGGCTATGCTCCGCTACGTCAGCCCAGATGCGTTCGATGAAGGTGTTTTTTGGAAAGAAGTGGCCCAAGAGCGGGAGTCAGCAGATGAGCAGACAGGGTAGGTAGAGTGATCTCGGGGGCGTCGAATCAACATCGTTGGGTGGGGCGACGTCGGGAAAGTGGACGAATGCTAGTGCAATGGTTTACTGGGCTCAGCTTGATGGGCTGGAAAATGCCAGTTTCATGTTTGAATCAAGAGCTCATGCCCTTTGCTCTGTGAAGCTCCCAACGATGCCATAGCAGAGCAGCGCAACACTGCTGATTTGTGTGCCGGCTTGTTCAACATTTTGGAGATCTGGAGCAGGGAGTGATTGTGTGGGAGCACATGACTTTAATTGCCATAGTTCAGGAATTTGCTGAGGCACAGTCACTGAGGTGCGCATGCAGCAACGGCTCAGTTCTCCACCCCAAAAATCCCACCCTGAAATTGGCGTAAGTTGCGCTGAAAGGAAAGTGGATGGATGTTAGTGCAGTGGTTTACTGCAACAGTTCCATGATGAGCTCAGCTTGATGGGCTGGAAAATGCCAATTTTATGTTTGAATCAAGAGCTCATGCCCTTTGCTCTGTGAAATTCCCAACGATGCCATAGCAGAGCAGTGCAAAACTGCTGATTTGTGCGCTGGCTTGTTTACCATTTTTGAGATCTGGAGCAGGAGAGTGACTTTGCACGAAAACATGCGTGGGCTTGCTGCAACGTGGCAAGTCCAGCAACTGTCTGTAAAGAAGTGCTAACAGTATATACTATTGTTCTCATCATCATGATCACTCTCTATCAAATCGCTTCCGGGGGAGATATTGCAGAACGGATTCTTGCGGACAGGCACGCGAAAGGGACGCGAAAGGCGGACATGGCCCGGGAAGGTAGTTGGTCATTCGGGTTTCTGTGAAAAACCTGGCCGCTCTTTTCTACGAAAAGGTCGCTGCAGGCCTTTCTGCGGAGAAGCAGCCTCCCCGCACACGTTCGTACCCAATGCCGTTGACTCTGAGCAATGGAACAAGCTGATCACGATTGCGCGCACGAAGATCTTGCAAGCCCTTTGCGAGGACATGGAAGATGCGGAAAAGGTTGCGAAGAGTGTTGTGAGAGATGGCAAAGTCCACTCAACAAATCGATCAAATACAGGACCTGTAACTAGGTTTGGATGCATTTTGTTGCAAACCTTAAGAAAGTGCTGCGGGCTAAAGCCCGCAAAAAGGGCGGCAAAAGGGATGCTTCTGGGAAAAGGAATATTGGACAAGCCCCAGTTGGCTGACGAACGTTGAGGGACCAAAAGCCGGCTGGCTGTCTACAAAAGATACCGCCATAGTTCGTGTTCCCGCATAAAGGGTTGGATCAATGTTTGGCTTTTCAGCCAGCCCTGGACGATCCCAATCAAAGGTGGAAACAACAGTCCTGAACAAGATCTGTTTGTGAACAGGCATGGAGATAACCGGCCTAACACTCAACTGGAGGCTTTGTGTTAAAGAGTTCTAAAATGGACACACCCAAGACTCGAGCCCTCCAGAGAGCGCAGGCGACCACCGTCATTTTGACTGAGCTTCATCATCTTTTTAGGTTGAGCAGAAATTGCCCTGCTGGGTTCAACCGTTGCATTTTTCTTCTTCAACTGCTAGCCCCACCTACTGGAAACTAGATGCACCCCTAAAAGACAGAATCTTGGTTCGATCTATTGGCTAGGGCCGGCGAAACTTACTTTGCAAACTTGCTTGGCCCTTGTTGCCTGCAAGGTAAGAGCTCCAACATGAGTAGAGGTGCGTATGCAGCAGGGATCGCTGCTACAGTATCCACCTATCCACCAAGGCTTGTGCAGCCATATCTTTATCGCGCCCAAGCAATGCAGGCTGGAAGTCCTTCAAGACAGCAACTCTCCAGACGAATGAGTTGAGGATGTCCTGAAGCTATGTATTTGAGGCATTGGAGAGGCACGAGGACGCTGTCAAGGAGTTGGAGGCCTTGTGTGCACTCTGCCCCTGCAACCCTGCAAATTTGTTCTCTGCACTGCCGCGCTTTGGAGTCCCTGATTTCCTGGCATCCGGTGGAGAGTGTTGCAAGCTTGGAAGATGGACTTTGCACAGCGGCTGAGTGTCGAAGTCAAAGCTTGACAGTTGCCCAGGTCTATCACAAACTTGAGGAAGCCAAATTCTTGCTGAGGACTAGACTTCACCCCGTTCTGTCTAGAGGCTCGTCCTTACCACACTTGCAAACTGCCATGGCGAGGAAGCACAAGCGGAAGAACTACTACGAAGTTCTAGGAGTTCCATCTGTAGCCTCGCAGCTGGAGATAAAGAAGGCCATGCCTCCAATATAGCACGAGCCAAGATGTGAATACTACAAAGGCTTGTTGCGGTGTGCTGCTACACCGTTGTGTTGAATGCTAGTATCTTCTTCAGGCATACAGAGAGCGTGCTGCCGAATGGCATCCTGACAAAAAATCTCACCTGGATGAGGCATCACCTCAGAAACCCCACAGTCGGCCAAGCAGTCGAGCCTCGTGGCAGGCTGCCAGGAAGAATGCAGAAGAAATGCTGCGATCACAGCTGCATTTTCGTTACGTGTTGCTACTTGATTACCTGTCTCCCTTCGCAGTTGATTGGGATGCCACGACACCCTCCTGATGCCGGCACGAAACCATCAACATGTGTGGAGGTTCAAGACAATCGGCGAAGCATACGAAGTGCTTACAGACCCTAACAAGAAGGAGCTGTACGAGAAAGGCAGCACTGGTGCCGATTTGAACTCTTGAGGCGGTGAGTTTCTTGAGTGACCCCATGAAGGTTACGACCTGGAGGGTATCAACGAGCAGATTGAGATCAAGAAGCGGCAACTAAGCTGGAAGGGGCGGTTCTTCAGCTGGCTTTCAAAGAAGCGCACCAGTTAGCAAAAAATCCTGGGACCAGACCATGCACGGGCATCGCAACGCCAAGGCGAACAAATGGCTGCTGCGGTGGCAGGCAGTGCATGCTCTTGGAGCATTTACTCGCACAAGTCTTGCAATGCGAGCTACAACAATCTGCACATGCATGACTGGAGTCATTGTGAAGTGTCAGGCCTGGTGGCTGCCATTGACAAAGTTCACGACTTATCGCATGGTCCTTAGCCAAACATGTTGATGATTTTGTTTTGCAGGATGCAAGCCGCATGCTGGCAGACGATGTCAAGCTACCTAAGCCTTGCGGAAATCAAGGCTTTCTACCTCGCGTTGGCCAACCTCCTTAGGGCTTCGTGCTCGCGTGTGCTGGTGTCAGCTGAAGTGGCAAACCATTCCAGAAGAGATGGGTGCCTTGTGCAACCATATGTACAGCTTGTAGCTCTGCAACCCAGAGTAGAGTCGCGCTGGAGTTTTAGTTTAGCATAACATGAAGCTACGAAGAAGCTGTGGGGGCAGCGCGTTTGGGCTTTACTCTGTAGTCATCTAGAGACCCTTAGTTCTGGCTCATTGTCGGAGCACTCAAAAGCATAGAACATCCTCCTGCTGCTGCTGCTGCTGCCGCTGCCGCTGCTGCATTCACTTCACTCGCTTCCCTCGCTTCACTTCATGCTGTCAGCGGAGAGTATATGAGAAGCAAGTCTGCGATTGCAGCTGCGGCTGCAGCCTGACCTGCTGCAGCGTTGAGTGCTCACGGTTTTAGGTCTTTAGGTAGTGCGCGGCCATAGCGTGACTTGCTCGCAGGCCCCGTGGTGTCGCTAGCTGGCCGGAGCAGTTTGTTTCATCCACAGGACCGGCGATGATCAAGATCTTCGGCGTTGGCCGCGGCAAGCGCGCGGAGGAGATCTGAGAGGCTACCAGATCAAATGATTTCTCATCAGATGGTTGAGGAGTCGAAAGATGGCGACGACGCAGAGGCAGATAGCTTGGTAGCTTGGGGCATCGGCTGATGTGATGTCCGTTCTAGTCTGCACAGAATTGGGACTGTTTTCATATGTTGCATGACGCCAAGGCTCCTGCCGCAAAGAAAAAGCAACCAGGTGAAATTCGAATGCAAAAGGACCGGAACTCAGCTGCAACAGCGCTGTGCGGGAAACCCAGCCAGTTGCTGTTTGAGAAACAGTATGCTGCAGGAGTTGGACGAGATGGAACTGCCCCCACAGTGCCATATTAAGCTTGGGCCTCTGCAAGTCGCCACCAGCAAGCATGACGAGGGTGCACTTCCATCAGTGTGACCGCCCAGTTTTCCGGACAAGAACAACCTCATGCACTTCCAGATGCAAATCTCACCAGACGAAGGGTTTTGGAAAGGCTCAAGCCTGCGTGCATGTTTCAGGCACTAGTAACCCTTGCAAAGACGCGCATTCATCATACAAGTGCAGCTGCTGCAGGGGCAAGCTACACCTTCGTCTTCAACGTTGCGCCGCTGTACCCGCATGAGGCCTCCAACTTGCGGCGAGCACCACCGCTGGCATGTGCGTCTCAACGCAGAAGTGCAGGCCCCAAAGGTAAAGTGTCATGAGCTCAGTCGTGCGCTGACAGAGCTGAGAGTCTGTCGCGGGCACGCTTCAGCTTTCGCTGCGTTGCGTGACGTTCAAGAAAGGAAGAAAGGACGTCTTGCCCAGGCGTGTTGTGTTGCACGCGAGCCGGTATGAAAAGTGGCTGCGTGCACCTGTGCTTGCTGACTTGGAGAGCACGTCTCAACCGCCACGCCTCATCCCGGATTGTTGTAGAACCCGACGCTGAAGCCAAGCGCAACCGCTAACGAGGTCTCTCAGTGCGGGGCAGGTACTATGATGGCAGAGGGGCAAATGGTTGTAACCAAAAGATGCTCTGGCGGTCGTGGAAATTTCGTGAGGAAGCAATTCAGAATCAAATTTAGAAGCCAATGCAACCTAGGTCCTAGGTCAACTTGCACGAAACGCATTCGTTGTACAGATTCACATGAAGCAGCTCTGCTGCGAGTACTGCCCTGGAAGAGTGGATGCATGACAGAGAGCCCACCCCAGAAATTTCGTAGTCATCTCAACATATCTCAACCATTGAGCTGGCCTGACGGCAATAGGAGTCCAAGAGCTTGAAAGCATACTGCCAGGCTGTGTGCGTTTGGAGCCGAGGTGAGACCAAGATTTACCATCCTAACATCGACCTGCAGGGCAACGACGCGAACTTAGCTTGACTTAGATGATGTCCAAATCCATATCGAACCCTGAGGGATGATGGACAGGTTAGTTGCTAAGCCAGCTGAGCTTCACGTGTGATGCGTGCTGGACCACTGCTAGACCCGAACAGGCTAATTGACATAACTGCCGCAAAAGTATCCACCCAACCTCCCAAAACATCAAGGCGTCTTACCCGATGTGAATAGCCCATGCCGGCTGTGGTCTCAATGAGCTGTTGAAAGCCCAAGGTTTGCTTGAATATCCTGCGGGAAGACTGGAAACCAGCCGCAGACTTGTCAATTCAGGGATGAAGCTGTGCAGCTGCAGAGGTTCCAATTGGATGCGCATTGGTGCTTTAGGTGTTGTCGATCTCATCAGTTGTGTACGGACTTCTGTGCGCTGCCCGCGTCACCTAAGGCATCAACCCTCAAACAGCAATTGAAGGGCTACAGAGTTTGAATAGACATTTATAGGGTCGGAGTTGCTTCAACCCCAAAATCCAAAATCCCCTGCTTAACCCAGACCGCTGATTAATAAACCCCCTCCCCATAATAGGGATTATCACAGGGATCCAATATGGAGGCCCTTAAAAGGAGGGGGTTAATCACTCGCGGATCTACATTATCGCGGCTCCAGGTACTTATTCCTGGAGCCCAACCCTGGAGATCCCTTGAACCACGAAGCCGCCGAGGCGATGACCTTTCTGACTGATATTTTTTCTCGAGATAGGTAGCTGTGCCATGAAACACACTGTTATAGCAATTAAGATCAATTAAGGGATATTACCTGGTCATAACGTGGGTTTTTCTCAAACCTTTTCGCCCACATCCCAGGCTCCTTTGCACCCGGACCTGCGAAAAGACCCTGAACTCCCACATACCCTGGGCTAGCAAATTGCTCGCTTGACAGGTGCTGCGGAACAACAGGGCCGAGTTTGGGCGCATCGTTGCGAGGCTGGTTGCTGTTTTTCCCAAGCTCAAGCTAGAAGAGATGGTTTGCAAGGACAGCAACGCAGAGCCTCGAGTAGTTGGCGATATATTCCCGTTGTTTGCTCTCATGTGTTCATCGATCATGTCCCAGATTCTTAGCACTAAGCTGCCATGCTTGGCTGTTCTGAGCTATAGCCATAAAAGTGCAAGGAAGTCCTATCTAACCATCTGGAGTTCCTGCATCTTCCCTGTGTCATCCCAACGTGAGCTTTCCATTCTGAGACATGGCCACCAGGCATGTCCATAATCGATGGCTAGGTCGCTGCGAGGTGGTGCAGTCGCTGGCCACGCGTTCCCCAAGCTCCTGGGTAATCAGGACTTAGACCTTCAAGTTTAGGGACTCAGGCTTGTGGGCTTTAGACCAAGGGTTTAGGGTCTGGGGTCTCTTAAAGCTGCGAGGTCCATTTTGGCGGGCCACTATCATAACAACCGAATAAAACTGTAGACGGACCCTTTGAATCTGAAAAGTTTGCCTTTCGCAACATATCCCAAGCCCGTATCCCTCAACCCTTGAATGAAGATTCCTTACAAAGTCTCTACCCGGAAGGTGGTTTCAAGGGGGCAGCAGTGGCGAGCAGCGTTGTGTATTTGGATGTATTCAAAAAGGTAGAGAGGGGGAAGTAGATGAGCGGTACTAGTAGCAGCAAGGACCATGTACTGCCATAACTGCCATACCAAGCTACCGTAGTGGTGAGTTCGCCAGACCGGAGAACATCAGACCTCCAGATTGCAATGATTGTTGAAGCTCCGACATCTGAGGCTGCTTTGACCCAACGATATCCGTCGCATCTTTTCCTGCGGTCAGAGTAATTGGTGTGTCACCCTTAAAGGGTTCTGGCAAGGCCTCGCCCGAGAGAACTAATCGCAAAACGGTAGCAGTAGCAGCCTCGCGTCATTGTAAGATGTTGAAGCTGTGAACATGCTTTGGGCTGAAACCAGGCCCAAGGACAGCCCTGCCGGCCTCATAGCATGTCATTCATGAAATTTGTGGAGGAACGCCAAAGTGTGCTTTTCAGCTGCAGCCTTTGCATTCTTTAGGCGCGTATAGTGTAGAGTTGAAAGAGCGTTAAGGGCACTGGTAGAGGAAAACGTGACCTTGTGTTCGCTGCAGCTTGCCTTCAAACTTGTCGATTGAAAGCCATCTGATTGTTTTGCATCTACGTTCTGCTGTTGCTTGCTCGAGATCCTAAGCTGATGGCCGCCATAAGTTGGCCACGTCACTACAGCCAGGGGAGGGGGAGCAGCATGTTACCAAAGGCCTGCTGTTCATGCCTTGTGTTTGTTCTTTGGCTCCTTCTCATGCTTGTCCTCAGGGCTGCTGAGAGACACTGCTACGCGCATGCTTGGGCCTTGACGGAGTCTTTCTGAGTGGAATTGGCACTTGAAGCCTTGCTGCAAGGCGCGCGCAGAAGCAGCGTCCGTTCCATCGCAGCCACAAAGCAGGCAGCTGCTTTCTAGGATGATCTCTACCGATCCATTGTAGTCAGCGGAACAGGTGGGGCATATCGTTAGCGCGTGGTCGCTGTTATGTCAAGTGCGCAAAGCAAATGTCCAAAATGAAGTAGCAAAGCCTCACATGGGTGGAAGCAACTTGCCTCTGGCAGCAACCCGCATGTATGGCCGCTTCATGTGACCCCGTTGCAGGCGCTATCACGAATATCGCATCTGCTGTATTTGCATGGTGACTGCCTCAGCTTGTATCAGGTTAGCAAGATGATACGAACACTGCCCACAGACTACAACATCTTATTACGTATAATGATGCAGATCAAAGTTATGTCGGCTTTTCTTACTGCCAGTGGATTCTGAAAAGGGCAGGTCTTGGAACCCGTTTTCTGTTTTGCTGTGAGGTCGTTTTTGGCTGTTGGGCCCCCCAAGCCAACCCAGGCAGGCCGGTAAGTGAGTGAACTCCCGTCACGCACCCCAAAAAAAACACCCACACCGCCCAAAGAACAAAAAAGATCAGACAAAAATATGAAAAACACTCTTACCGGGCTAGATCTATGGGCAGCACGAGGTGCCACAGCCTGCTCACCATCGCAGGACTTCTGAGTTCAGAACCATCAAAGGGCAAAAGACATTTGAGGTGGAATCACATGAGGTGTTGTGGAGTGCAGGCATCTCCTAGGCCTCTGACTTTCAGTAAGTTGATTCTTGTGAAGCAGAATCTTGGAACTTCCGGTGGAAGCGGTAGACTTGTAGCATGGATGGGGACTGGGCCTAAGTCGCGGTCGTGGAAGATGCAGCCAGGACTGGCACATCTTTTGTGTCTGACATGCTTCCTTGTCCGGCTCTCATTTACACGAAGCAACAGAAGCAATCAGCGAGCTTGCGAAGTCAAGCGAAGGAAATCATACGTGTTTTGAGACTCTGAGGTACAGGTGATCCTCATTGACTATTTTCTTGTGCAGTATATGAGCTGGCAGCTGAGTGTTGCGTCATCAAGTATGCTGCATTCGCTGGGTGGGGCAGCGTGTTTTGGGTTCAGGTCCCACAGTCCTCCTCACCCTGATCGTGGACGTGCCCGTGCCGACATCCAAGATCACATCGCCAGAAATTCTTTCGCAAAGTGTTCAGGGAATTCCTGAGTTGCGGGGGCTGCACAGGCTTCTCCATTTGGCCTGGTTCTGGAGAGTCGAAGTTGCCCATCGTGCGGCTCCAACTCAGTCAGCATCCCAAGTTCTGTGCTCAAACGATGCCATCCCCATTCCCGTTCCCTGCCATTCCCTCGAGGTGGTTTTGTTACTGCTGGGTGCACGCGGCCAAGGCCGGCATGCCTGGCAAAGGAAGCTGAAAGAACACGTAGATTGTTGGAGGTGGTGGTGCTTTTTTGCCGCGTGATGCCACGCTTGACAAGCGCAACTCCGACCAAGGCAGGGGAGATTTGGGAGATTTGGGAGAGATCTGAGAGAGTTGAAGACCCAAAGCAAAGCGGAGCTTGGTGGTTCCCTCTTGCAGGATGGGCTTCAAGGCAGCGACTTCAGTATAGACAGTTCCTACTTTGAAGATTTGTACAGTGCCGCACTGAGCCTTCGCGCCAAGCAACTTGGTGCGACTTCATGGAACAGGAAGATGTCAGCATGAGCTCCCCCATCGTGCAAGGTCCTACGATGCTTGCGAATCTCCTACTGATAACGCCTGTCTTCTACAGCTTGATGATGTTTCGGACCAGCAAGGCACCAGAAGCTTCCTTCTCGCAGCTTGAGCTTGACTGTGCATGTAGCCGTGCCCCCTGCAGGCCATCTTTGGTTCTCTGTCGAAGCGCGTCACAGTTGACCTCATTATGCACTACGAAGCTCGCCAGTGAGCAATCCATGTTGGCAGCATGTCAAGGTCCAAGCATGGCTGCGCTAGCAGGGTCAAACATCCCCACGCGGCAGACAAAATTCTTGAAAAGCATGCCCAGCACTTTGCCGGGACGGAATTGAAGAGCTTGATCAAGAGAGACCGGAATACACTACAACGGCAAGAACTGAAAGCAGGTCGGTTGAGGACGAGCGTCCATGTGGGCTTTGATCTGAAGGCTTCAGTGGAAACAGCTGAGAGTGCAATCTCAGGACATGCTGTGGCGTGTGGTCATCGACATGGTTGATCAAGCCGAATGCTCGGCTATCCTGCACGGGAAATTCAAGCTGGCCGCAGGTATTCCTGTTTTCTTGTGAGTCCTGCATTGCACTTCGCGCAGGTTGATATGTTCTACTACGCGCGCCTAGCTGAATGGGCTGATGTCTCGGGCTGGCCACTATGATCCTTGATGCGTAAGAACTGCCCTCATGCTAGGTGGGGAAGGATGCGCTGGACAAACACCGGCAGTCACTGGTACTGATCCAGACCGTGCCCTGTTTGAAGTTCATAGTACTCATCTTATGATCGCACCCAGCAAAGCCGCAACTTTTCAGGCTGTGCCGTTCCTCCTGTTTTTCTCAATGGTTATGCAGGCAAGTCCACTTTGGGGTGATGTCTGCCAGCTTAAAACTTCTGCTGCAGAGGCTCAGGCGTTTCCTGGCGCCTGGCACTCAGGGAGAGGCAACTGCAGTAGGGCTCCAAATCTTTGGCAGAGTCGCAGGTTATAACAGACAAGTGGCCGATCCCGGCCCTGTCCTTGAGGAATTCGCTGGAATATCCAGAGCGGTTTGCATGCTGCAGCTAGACAGCTAGTGTGATGCTTGCCTGCGCAGTGGAGTTCAAGGTTGAAGTCCCTTCTGCGTGGGGCTTAGAGATTGTGTGGTGGGAAAGCAGAAGCGTTTGCAATCGGAGCTTCTTGCTGCAGCCACAGCTCCTTTTGCAGCGCTCGAGCCTGAGGTTGCATTGCCTCAGGCATGTTCAGAGCCTCATGAGGAACCCTCCAGGACGCAAGCTTTCCATTGAACAGAAGCTTCACAGATAGGCACGCTGTGTGGAACACATTGCAAGAAGTCCGAGCGATGCAAGGAGCGATATGAATTCGCAGACGATAACCTCGGTGCCTCACAGGCTGCTTTGCCCAGACAGGACTCGCACATTCACTTGATTCACCAAACCAACTGACGATCTCTAGGTACGGCATTCAGCCCCAGGCTCCACTGTCAGAAGCCCAGTTCCGCATAGATCGCAGGCTGGCTGTACCGTGAGCGGAAAAGTGCTGCATTTGAGGTCTCAGCTGCAGGCAGGATTAGCAACGCAACGGATAGAAATTGTTTATTTTGCTTTATTCAGAACCCTTTTTGGTTGGAGCTTCACATCTGCAGGCATCAGGCTTATCAGCTGCCTCATCCTCCTTGCCACCCTCACGGCGCGTAGAGGTTGGCTGTTTTGTTAGTCTTGTGGCCACAGATGTGACTTTGAATGCCATGCAAACAGGAGCGGCAAGGAGAGTCCTGGGGTATTCCAAGACCTGCGCAGGTGTTGTTTGTGGCTCTCGGGTCCTGAGCACTGGCTGCATCCTGCAAGGCTGTCACTTTCGCATCGGACATCCGCGGATTCGCTGCTTCGGCTGACGCCTTCAGTGAAAGGCCGGACACAACAGAAACGCACCCTTCCAACAGCATTAAAAGCAAATCCTCCTTGCAGGCAAACTTCGGGCTCCGGGATTATGACTCGAAGAAATACGGCTCACGGCGCGGTTCTTGCTTCACCGCAGTAGGACTCTGAGGCCTTTGCACTTAGTCCAGGATCTGGGCGGGAGCGAGCTTGGCTGGAAAGAAATGAGAGGCCATTTGCACACAGGAAAAGCTGGCAATTCTTTACACCAGTAGCTTCGCAGCAGGGCGCGAAGGCGGCGATTGCAGGCACAAGATCTGGGGGGGCTCCGTTCGCCGCCAGCATGTAGTCACAATGCTGGACGTACTTGCAATAAGAAAGTCCAACTGCTTTCTTATTACTGGTGCGAAACAGCAACAGGTCAGGCTTCAGCTCTTGCTCTTTACACAGTCTAGCCTCTCAGGAATTCTATGCTTGGGATCTGGTTGCAGTTTGCTCTTGCCAGGCCATCATAAATCTCATTCAGCGACAAAACGTTATCATCGCTCGGAAGCGGTGTGAGCCCAGGATCCCAAGCTTTTTCTGCCCAACGTAGACGTGGCTCAGCATGATCAGGTCTGCCATTGCATCGATCTTTCTGATCGATGTCCCATTCCTGACCATACGGGTGCATAGCTCAGTGTGTACAATGTTGAGCCAGGCCATATGAAGGTGTCTCTCTATGGCACCACACCTCCAAGTTCTAAAGCGAAGTGCCAAGACGTGTTGGTCCAAGTCAGGTTTGGCTTTGGACATTGCACTGCGCTCAGATGCCACCGTGTGCGGGGCTGCAGGATCTTTTCGTCAAGTTCTCGCGAGCACTTCGTGAGCCCATGTTGCGTGAGGCTGCAGCACACGTACTTCCCCGGCCTAGGGGTCAAGAATGGACTTTGCATCGTCTTCCTGTGCTGGTTGTTTCTGTGCCTAAGCTGGGTATAGCTGGTTTGCCTTCCACGCGAGCCAGGTTCTAAGCGTCATGCAGTACACCTTGGTTGCCCTGGCCAGCTGGGATCCACTCGGGTTGCTTGATTTGACCAATGCCATCGAAGTGGCCTCCAAGGTAAAGAGTCCTTCAAGAGGATCAAACGAGAGCTGGCAGAGTACATCTGCAGGCCCTCCAATGAAATCCAATCCTCGTATCTGTCACTGGGAACCAGTCATGACTGCTCCTTGGCAGGTTTCAAGGATCCACCCTGAAGGAAGAGGAGGAGGATTCTTGTTTTCTTTGAGTCATTTTGAAAAAGCTGGAGAATGTTCTGGGCACGAGGAGGTTGGGCACGACTCGCCGGATCCTGCAGCTCATGACGAAGGAGTGGCCTCCAGGTTGTCGTCAGTTCTGAATTGTCCGAAGCTGAATCTTGCAGGAGAGGTCATGTCACCAGCCCTGGCCTGAGTAGCTATCAACCACAGCCTCAAACCATGCCCTTCTGGAAATCCTTGCCTGCCAGCCTCCAGGAACCAGGGACTCCCGGTGAACAGGTTGCACAGGATGGGTGGGCTTCCCTTCATGTTCCTACTCGCTTATTCGCACTCTTTGAGCCGAGAGATTTGCGCAGGATTCACCGGAAGTTCTCCAAGCATCAAAGTCTCAGGCAGCATCCAGACATATCCAGAGACATCCAGACCCTTTGCGGTCAAGCTTCACCCTACCTCGCTTCTGAGGCTGAGATGAAGCGAGCACTCCGGCGTGTAGGCCAGATCTGCAAGAGCAAGCCAAGAGCAAGCTCATGAAGAGCCCAGCTTTCCCCCTGCATAGCCCCTGTGCAAAGATCAAGAGCCAGCAGCTGTGGGGTCTTGAGCCGTACGGAGAGTTGGTCTGCAACATGACTGCAGGTCGGGAGAGCGCCCGCAGCGTTGGTGCCTGCAGCACCCTTGAATCAAGACGGTTCTGCCTGCTGATCTCAACGGGCTTTGCCTGCAGGTGTTTACATTTGTGCCCTTACATTGGCCTTCGTTCTGGGATGGGTCTTCGCACAAGGCAGGAGGTTATAGCCGAAACTAGTTTGTGAGTGCTTCTATATCTAGTTTGCTTCCCTTGCAGGCGAGACTGTCATTGAGCTTTTCGTCAGGCGTGTGCAGGAGCTACCCATGCATGCACAATGATTCACTCTGATCTCCGCAGCTTGCAAGTCACACTTGTGGAGGAGGCTATTGAACAGAGCTGAAGGCCATGTGGCTGCCTGCGCAGTTTTCTGGATTCTTGTAATGTTCCTTTGACATTTGTTTGGATGTCAGGGTGTGAGTGGATCACGCTTTTGCATAGAGCGCGGGGGCAGTCAAAGAGTCGGACAGCACAGTTGCAGCTGTATGCAGACTCCCCATACTCAAAGAAGTCTAGGCTTGAAGGCCCCGACGTGGATCAAATGACAAATTGACATCTGCTAGTGACCGCAAGTGCTGCCAAAGGCAGCGCTGGGGACTCCAATGTTTCTCAGAAGCCAGAAATGCAGAGTGGTATGGGCAGTGTGTATCGTGAACCCATAATCCTGCTCATAGGAGCTTCTCAAAGCTAAGGCTGTAACACATTACAATAGGAGCTGTAGGGCACTTAGCAGATACGAGGACCTACAACTTACTTTCATTTACTTTCACACTGTCTGCTTTCCAAACTGCTTATGACCACTTTGCATGTGATTGCTTGCAGCTCCTCGAATTTGAACGGATTGCAAAAGGCAATTCGTTGATAATGACTCGTGGCTTTCGGTTTTCCGCAGTGCTTGTGGCTTAACAGTGGTAGTGATTTGGTCTATTATGATTCTTGTGGTTGATCATACTGCGGTGTACTGGAAGACCATGCCTGCAGAAAAAGCACAAGGGGCGTCCATTTCTGCTGAAGCTTGAGCTTGTTCCCACGGACAGCAAGATGACGCATGTGCGCGCATACTGCTGGAAGTTGTACGTACATTCTCAAGACAAGCCAGACCTGAACCAGAATTAGGACACGACGCCACCAGCACGTGATCAGATATGATCAGATCTGCAGGCTTAGTTGAGAAATCTCCCATTCAACCAACCCATTCCAACGTGATGTTGCTTCCGCAGAGCTGCATCTCTGCTTTCGCAGGGGCTTCCCGAAAGCCAAGCATGAACTCAGAGTTCTGTCCTATGCCGTGACTTTACAGATGCATGCAAGCATGCAGGTGCACACAGCTTGAAGGAGTTGATGGTCGCACACCGCCCTACCATCTTTCCTGTTGCAGGCAAGCTTGCATGCTGAAGTGGCGGCTGCTGCTGAGAAGACCGGCACGCCCTGCACAGCAAGTGCCGTCAGTCCATGTCACTAGACTCAGTCAACTCTTATGTTATGCCACGCAAGTCTAGAGACAGTCTCCAAACAACGGTCGTGCACAGGGAATGACTGACCAAACAGACACGAGTGAGACTCTCAGCTTTGGTCCCTGAAGGAAGGAGAACAAAGCAAGGACTTGGCCAGGGACACCAGGAGCCAAAATGAATGGAAGAAGAACAAAAAGGGCAGACTCACCCAAAGCTGGTCATTTACCTTGACGTATTGGGCTCTCAGAGCGATCTTTTCAGGCCCTACGAATGCAAGACTGAAGCAAAGAGAGCCAGACCGGGAATTCATTTGCATTGGAGAGGGAACCATCTGTCTGCGGTCTAGGCTGCCAACGCACAACTATCAACTATGAAAGCGCATCCTTTGCTGTTTTCCAGGCATCGCAAAAACCCTCAAGTCTGAGATGCGATTTCGTTTGATTCAGCCAGACGCCCAGTCTGAATCAAGCCGTTCTCATCCAAAAATGCCACCTATTTGTGCAGATTGAGGTCTAAAGGCTAAAAATGAAGATCCGCGCGTAATTCCTAAAGAGCCCAGGTCTCTCCACAAAGCAGCTCACTTGCAGGCTCGGGAATGCCAAGTGTTTCTTTCCGGCAAGAAATCTCGGGCTGTTGAGGCCTTTGAGCCAGATGAACGCGTACCGTTGATGGACAGGGCACTGTACAGCTGGACCCTTAGCACTTTTTGGCTCAGTGCTGAAATCTGGCATGGGCGAGCGGCTGCTCAGGTTTGGTTTTGGAGCCGCGCCGGCCTGTCATCATGACTTTCTTCACAGCACCGCAGCCAGACCGCCAGGTTTCTGCGGCATCGCCAGAAGGACTACAGCTTGTCAGTCCTGTTGCCAGAGACCCGCCCCCGGTGAACACCTTTGAAATTCAAGCGATGCCTAGGGCCTAGGATGATGAAGCGATCCGAATGCATACATAATTTCATGTAATTCCCAAAGCAAAGCCACGTGGTCGTACCCACGCTTGGTGTCAGAGAAAAACAAGTATGTACCTGCATTCAAAAGGTACCCATGATGTTGAGACAAGCTCGAATGATTACTGAGATGTGGCATGACCTCAGCCGATGTCCTGACAGCCGAGGAGGCCCAATTCTTGTCTAGCAATTATCATACATCCTTGTTGCTGAGATTTGCTGAGCTTTGCCTGACTCGCAGATTGCGCAAGCCTTGTCACTGCAGAACGTAACGGCTTGCAACTCTGCGTCACAGTTGCATCCACTCCGCAGGCTGACTGCCATTTGCCAAGGCCTACCGCCTGGCTGCCAAGTTGCGCACTGATGAGCCGCTCCTGGCCTCTGCCCGAGTGTTTGCTTCGGATGCAACACAAGGGTCGTAGAACAAGGTCGCGGGAGGACCTGCAACAAACCAGAGTGGTGCTTTGAGTGTGTGGGCCGTACAGACCTGGGGCAAGATACAAAACAGCTCAGGCACGGTTGCTCAGAGTTGTTGCTGCCTCACAAGAGTAGCTGGCTTAGCCCCAGCAGCTTTTGCTCAGGCTAGCTGCCAGCCTTTGACATTTGCAGCATCTGGAGGCCTATGTGCAGTTCGACCGCTGTCCAGACTGATCCCCAAGGCGCGTTGGAAGAGGTCACGTTTCAGGGCTCTGTCCTGTTGTTGCTGCCTGGCTGAAGGAATAGGCGAGAGCATAGACGAGAAGCTCAGGGCATGCGCAGTGCCAGCAGCACAGATTCCCTCTGATGGATAGAACACCAGGCACACTTGCAGAATGCAGCAGGCCGGATGAGCAGAAAGATAGGCGAACCATTGAAGAGCGAATGCTCCAGCCGCAACCTGGTCAGCTGCACACAGAACAAGTCCGGTGCCTGGCCCTCCCAGAGGTTCCGTGCCCGCTGTGAAGCCATGGTGCGCAAAGAAGCCGAGGCTCTACTGACATCAGAGCAGACCATCTTGCTAAAGCCACCGGTAGCTAGCGCTGCCCTCCGTACAGGCAGAACTTGCGCGGGTCCGCATGTTGGAAAGAGAGCAGATCGTCCGAGGCTGACGCACAGGTAGAAGAGGAGAGTTCCAAAGTTTGCTTGCGAGCATGTAGCGAGGATGGTGCAGAGCCCTTTCAAACGAAAGAGAGCTGAGGCGCTTGAGGAAGCGGCCAAGAGTCGAGCCGAGGTGCAGGAGGCCTTTGCGGGGACTCCCCCGCCAACCAAGAAGATAGGAATTCTGGGCATACGATCGGAGTGAGTATATTTTAGGAGCAGCTGCACTGATACGTTCACCAGATGTTATTGATAGTTGTCGTGCGTCTGACGAGCTGAATCTGCCAGGCAGTTGCTAAGGCAAAGCGTGAGCTGTCCGACAAGGAGGAACGCCTGCGCCAGCGCCTGGGCCTAAACTGACTGCACCCAAAATGGCAGCCGGTTCAAAGGACATGCGCATGCGTGACAAGCTTGCTGCACCGCAAAAGAAGTTTGCGGCACACGTGACACATGTGGGAAATGCTCGCGTTCTCAGACATTGCAAGATGACACCGCAAGCACAAGGCGAGCGCTTGGCGAACGAACGGACTCGTGCCAAGGCCGGGGGACCCTGCAAATAGTTGTTTTCATGTCATTCCAATGCCATCAGGAGTTAGATCTTGAGAAGAAGGCCGCGCCTGACTTAGTGCCAAGCAGCCGCATAGTTCTTTTGCAAGTCTTCTCATCTCGATATTATTGGCTAGTTCCGACTGCCAGGCCAGGAAACACTGTCATCATTTTAAGAATCCTCAGGTAGAGTGGAGGGCAACAGCCCAGCAAGTCATCGACGAGGAGCAGATGTGGCCAGCTAAGCCTGAATTTTGGTAGCGATGTGCACCTGCAGTTTCTGCAGAATGTTGAGGAGAGTCCGTGAGTCATTCAACGAATGTGTGCCAAGCTGGCTGAGGCGACAGTCCACCAGGTCGAAGCACCTGGATGTTGAAGATAAACGTCTGGCACTTAACCAACTTCTCTCAGCCAAGTGTCAAATCGTGGTTTACTTTGCACGCAACATGACTTCGATGTGTAGGATCCTTTACTGGATGGTGAAAGTAATTTTGCGGCACCTGTCGTTGGGCGGTTCCTACTAGATCTCAGCGCTGGTAGTCGTAGCGCCTGACTCCGCAAGCCGCTGGTCTTGTGCCCTGCACTGACACACTATATACTTTTAGGAACAGGATCTGCTGACTGCGGAAGTCAATTCCTGGCCATTCACGCATCCCAGGTCTTCAAATGCTCAAGGAAGGGCTGGATCGCCGAGAGCAAGAAGTGAGACTTGCCGAGGCCAATCAGTGGAGCATCGCTTTTGTCATCATACGCAACATGCCAACCAACTCCAAACAAAAGCGTGAGATACACCAACGTGTGGAATAGGGTAGATGTCGCAAAACAAGGGACGTCACTCAGCTGCCTGCATTGCTGCTTCATAGTTCTCATGCCTAGGAGGAGATGTGTTCTTGCATGTTTGGCATAAGGTTGTGCGGCACATGATTCCCAAAGCATGTGCGAGAGAAAGGGCATGTCTTCTTGATTCTTAGGTTCTTGTTTCAGGGAAGGCTTGGCTTCTGCAGCCAGGAAAGAAATTCTGCATCCGTGGCCGAGCTGGCCCGACGTGCAGAGGAGGCGAAGATTGCAAGCCGAGTAGTCTGTATCCAGCCATTTCAGCAACAGCAGGCTCAAAGGCAGCAGCACTGTAGGCCGAAAGTTGCCAATGAGGTTTTAAAGATGCTAGAAGCAGCAGCATACATCATCATTGTGATGGAGGCAGCGTTGGTGGTCGTGGTAGCAATGGTGGTGGGGGTGATGGTGTGGGTTGGGGTGATAAGGAGTAGTTGTCGCAACAGCGACAGGAGAATCATAGTAGTGGTAACAACAGTCGGAAAAATGACTTATCGTGGAATGCAAACTTCAAGAATGGACTGAAATTCAAAACAGGCCAGCCAAGCGGCCAAGATGGCTGCTCAGGCGGTGCAGGCCTCAGATTGGAGCCAGCGCATGCCAGCTCGCGAAGGGAGGCTTTTAGAAGTAGTTTTTAGGATTTGGGCGACCTTATGCGACCTGCAAGTCACTGGAGGGTGTTGCGGCCGAACGCGAAGAGTTGCGCCAGCTGCAGCTTAGCCTCGAAAGGCGTAGAGAAGGGAGAGGATGGACTTTCTCCATTCTCACCCGGCTTTTGTCCTGTGCAGGGAGAGGATCCAGATGGCAGGTGCTCGAGAACACCAAGAAGCCTTGAAGGTGCGCGCGAGCCACGTCTGCTCTGTAAGACCGCTGCTTCACAAGCTGAGGACAGGCTAGTCGCCGAAACCACAGAGGCTGAAAGAAGCGCCAACCAGGCCAGAAAGAACAGCCACAGGGTCACCACCGCGGATACCCACGGATCATCCCCGTTCATATCATGTTCTGTTCCCCAATAAGGGGACCCGCCTGGTGTTCATACTTCTGGTATTCGAGGAAGACGTTGTCTAGAAAACTTGCTCCAGGCCAGAAAGGATGCAAGGGCTGCGGAAGAGTGTCTCTCTGCGAAAGCTCGGGCGAGAACCTTAGCTCCTGTATCGGTCATGTCTGCCTTTAAAGAACAACCACCTCTGGGATGCATGGTTGAAGTCATGTTCCTTCTGATGAAGCTAGGAGCTTGAAGATGCTCGAGAGCAGATCCAGCTGCTCAAGGTTGCTGGGCAACAGGCCCCAGCTGTAATCACATCAGACAAGCTCCCAAAGAATCCAACTCCTCCTGAAGGTCGTGGCCTTCCAGCAAGAGCTCGAATCTCTTAGAGCAGAGAAGATGGTGTTCAACTCGGCTTGTGCCAGTTCTGACCAGCTCCCAAATTATGTCCTATCCTGGCGTCCCAGGCTCTGCAACACAAGTTCAACAATGAAGTGCAGGACAGCTGCAAGAACCTCCTAAGAAAGAGCTGGTCGTGGCCCAGAGTAATTGGCAGGCACACACGAATGCCGAAGCAGAAGTGGGCCAGCTCCAGCTCTGGTCTCAGTTCGGTGCTTCTGAGCGCAGCATGAGAAGCATAAAGCATGTGCCGCACAAAGAACCTGAAGTCAAACGAGATCTGCGAAAGCCATCACACGAACTGAGGAAGGACAGATCCCGTCTCAGCGCAGAGGTGGAGCCAGCCTCGAACGTTCCAATTGAGTACTGCGTGTTCCTAACTGATTGTCCAATCCGCTAAGGAGAAGCTGGAGGCTGGGTGCAAAAGTCAATTTTTTGGATGACACGCTGCGCAACGCTCAGGAAAAGCTGGTTGCAGCTGAGGGTGCCCCATCTTCGCTGGTACGGCAGCTGCAGGAAGCACGCTCGAGGCTGTCCACAGAGGCGCGAGCTTATTTGGTTTGCGAAGTGTCAGGCATAGGCCGCTTGGACTCGAGGCTTCCGAGAGCGAGAAGTTGCGGCAGCAGCTCCAGGATCCGTTGAGTAGTGCGTTTCGCACCCAAGCAGGGGGTGTTGACACGTGGCAGAGATGGAAGGTGGCCGAGCAAAGGGCTGCGCCACAGAAAGCGTGCCGAGCCCAGGCGTTGAAGTTGATTCGCCCAGAGCTCGGGTTGAAGACGGGCCGAGACGGGCCGAGGTGGGTAAGCGCCCTCCAGAGCCTGGAGCAAGAGCCTGGCCTCCGGAGATGTGTTTTCATGTGCTCTTGACTCGCAGCATCCTGCAGCCTCAGGATCTTTTCAGGTTTCGAAGATGTGGAAGTGGGGAAGGCCTGCAAAGAAAGAAAGCAACTTCAACCCCATCAGCTCATGTGCAAGACTTTTCTGCAGCGGTATAAGATTTCAAGGGAACAGGCAGTCTCGTCCAAGAAGGGGACCAGATATACAGATATACTTTAATTGGACACCAGCATCTGTTGGTGCACTCCTGGGAAACATGTCGCTTGAGCTGTGGGCGCAATGCCCACGCGCAGGCAAGAAGAAGCCGGGCATTGGAGGAGAGAACGCTGCAGCTTGAGCGGGAGATCAGTGCCTTTGAGCAGCGACATAGGTGCTCCCGCAAGTACATAACTTGGAGAACGTGCTTTGCTATGCTGGGAGGTCGCGGCGAAGGCTGGACGTTCCTTGGCAACAGCCTCGGAAGGATGTCAATTGTTTTGTCCGTTTCAACTTGAGCAAGCGGAAACATCAGGTCTGAAGATGACTCGGAGGTCTTCCTGGAGGATCGGAGCTGTTGGAGCAGATATCTCTTTTGTCGACTCGAAGTTGCAAACCAAGCCCGATCCCCAGTTCTCCTAAAGGAGGAGTCACAGAAAGAGTGCCTCAGCTTCACACCCGGGACCTTCAAGCAACAAAAGGGCATGCATTGGGAAGACCACAGCCCTGCCAAGCGCATGATAAATGAGCAACACCTCGCATGTGGATTGTACTACCATACATGCAGCCGCATGCTTCAGAAATTGAAGCATTCAGCCCAGCTCTGCAGCAGACTGCAACCATAACAGCTCCAAGCAGGCCTAGGTAGAGAGCACATCCATTCTCGTTCAAGGCTGAGGCCAGTCAAGTGGGCCCGAATCGGTAGGCGTTGACAGACATTACTTGCAATGGAAAGAGGTTTCAGAACTGTGTCTCTACTGACGGTGAACTTTGCTGACGTACTTGTCTCGTTCGACTCAGATGCTTTTCAAAGGTGTCCCCGAGCACACCTGTCAGGACCCTCTCCAGCCGCTGTCTGGCATGCAGCCCAGCAAAATACAGCAAACTACGGAACGTCTTTTTTGCGCGATTGTTTTGAAGCAAGTCGTGGCAAATGGCGTGCACAGGTCATCCTGGTGGAGTAGCGCAGATTGCTTAGCATAAGCGTTCACCGTGTTCAGTTTTTGTGCCCTTTTGTATGTTTGAAGGTCTCCTTCCCAAAGTGCAGTGGCTGAAGACACTCCTTGGCGGACTGCAGATCCCAGACTGCGGTCGCCGGTTGCCTGCTTGCACAGAAGCCACGCGACAAGCTGCGTCATTGGGACTTTTCAGCTGAGGTGGTGTCCTTCCTGTCACGGTCTGGGCATCCTTCAAGAGCTGGCGATCAAAAAGCAGAACAAAAACATTGCGGCCTGAGGCCAGCAGGGCCAGCAGTCTCGAGCACTGGCGAGAGGAGCTATTCGATGCTGGAAATCTCACTTGTTGCCTTGTCCAGCACGACAGGACGCCGACTCCTCGCCCTTACTCGACGGAGAGCCCTTCTTCCCGTCTTGGTTTCGCCCGAAATCAGGGAAAAGTGATGTCCTACATCAGGACCTGGAGCTGTTGCAAGTTGCCGGCAGGGCACCTAAACAGTGACCTTTGCCATCCTTTGCGGTGCACCCATCATGCCCTCCAGGCCGAGCAGCGGTCCTTGGGGCCTCAGAGGAGGCGCAGACCACTTGAATAACTTCAGCTGCCTCAGTAGATCTTGCAAGGATGGCAGCAAGACGCAAATGCGGTCATTGGCAAGGCCGTAAAAAGTGAGTGTCATGAAGAGGGGTGCATAGCAGATCTGGCAATTGCACGGATATCATTGTTGATTTCTACGCGGTTTCATGTGGATTGAAGATTGCAAGGAGGGCAGGTAAGATCGGAGCAGAGCTGCCTTTAGTAGAACTACTGCTCATAGTGCCCTGAAAGGCCTGCAATGCCTATCACAAGTGCGACAGCAGGCGAAGCACAGGCAACCAGCAAGATCAGCATGTGTGTGTGTGTGTGTGTCCCAGCCAGGCGACCCCGAAGCCATGTGCATTGCCAGGACCTTGTTTTGGCGATCATCTCCTGTAGGACCAGTCAAGATTGCCGGGGCAAGGATTAAAGCAAGCTTCAAAGCTTTAGGTGATCCTCCCTTTGCCAAGCCTAGGCGTCCCACACTTGCGCAGAGCTGTTCACCGAAGGCACATGCTGGAGCTAAAGCTTTACGCCCCTCCACAAGTCTTGGTGTGCTCGGTAACTTCCTGGCAAACTAAACAGTTGTTACGGTGTTCGCGCTTCCGTCTTGCACCCTTGAGGTTTGCTGTCTCCCAGCATGTCAGTGAGAGTGTCAATGGCTGTCTGGAATGATGCGGTTCAGGCTTTGCCAAAAGCAGCAGGCACGAAGCACAGACAGTTTGTGTGGGCCCTGATCTCATTCTTTGTCTACGCTGTGCCAGTCATTGGAGCTGTTGCACCGGCACAGACCGCGGAGGAGGAGCCTCGAAGGGACACTAAGGGATGCACAGCACGCTTAGCAGTGGACTTGTGTGACATGCTGACTCCACCAGGACAAGACTCCTCCGGCACAAGCATCCACTGCGTCAGCAACTT